GGGGTTTTTATTAAAAAAAGGAGAACCACATGAAGGGACCTATTTTAGCGGCACGTCCCCATATATGCCAATATATGGAAGTATTAGTCCCAATTACCAGTACTTATTCTCCCATTTACTCCCATGGTTTTTCTGCTAAGCATGGCTTCCAAAGATCAAACATAAGAATAAGAATACAGTCAGTGTATCATCAATGTTTATTTATAAAAGATACAGGTTGTAGTGAATGAGCTTTAGATGTTCTGATCAATATTGTCTTGAAGTTTCTGATGTATGAAGCCTTTAATTCCTATAAAGTTGAATTGATTTTGGTGTAATCTTTCTTAAGTTAGATTGCAATTCTGAAGCATGTATGGCCCACAATGCTTTGCTACTGAATGTGCTTGATTGGTTATTTTCATATCGCATGACCAGCTTTATGTCTAGCTACAAGCTCTTGCACCCCCCCCCCCCTTCCTACTACACATCTCCCACAACATGCACAATGTGTGTTGTTTGTGAAGTAGATGAGGGGGGGGGGGGTCGACAGCTTCCAAGACTAAAAAAGAGAGACATTCACCTAGCATTAGGTTGTGACGTCTTTTAAGAAAAACACCTCAAAGCATTCTATAAGCTAAACATTAAACATCATCTTACTTCCTTCTTTTTGTTATTTTTAATCATGAGAATCTGCACTACAAGGGAAATAATAGTAGATGGGTTAACTACATTTGGACTTCATTGTATGATGCAAATGTCCCATTTAGCATGGAAGTACCTTAGGGCAATACAAATAAATTTATCCAAAGACACAAGCTAGATGGCGCTTTATATTGGAAATATACGGATTTTTCAAAATTGCCGCCAAAACTACACCAGAGACAATATCTTTGCATCTGTGCATGCTTCAATTATAAGATTGGTGTCAAAAAATACAGTGATGTTGTTGTAGAATCTATTTTATTAGATGTTGAGTCTTGACAATTAAGAACTTTCACTTTATATTCAAAATACACGCGTTTTTCAAAATGGCTGCCAGAAGTATAACAAAGAAGATATCTTACCTTACGAATACTTACAAATTAAGATATCTTATCTTACAAATGTCCCCTTTGGCATTGAAGTACCTTAGGGCAATAGAAACAAATTTATCCAAAGACACAAGCTAGATGGCGCTTTTTATTGGAAATATATACATTTTTTCAAAATGGCCACCAAAAATACATCAGAGACAATAGTTTTGCTTCTGTGAATGCTACTGTAACAGTTATAAGAGTGGTGTCAAAAAATACATTAATGTAGTTGTAGAATCTATTTAATTAGGTTTCGAGTCTTGTAAATTCAGCACTTGCACTTTATATTCAAAATATATGCATTTTTCAAAATGGCTGCCAGAAATATAACAAAGAAGATATTTTCGCTTCTAAGCATGCTACAATGATAAGAGTGGTGTCAACGTATACATTAATTGGGTTGTAGAATCCATTTAAATAGGTTTGGAGTCTGTCATAATAAGAATTTTCACCTTATTGGAAATTATGTGTTTCTAAAAATGGCCACCAGAAATATAACAATCATGATATCTTCACATCAGTACATGCTACATTGATACGATTGCAGGTGTCAACATTTTATATTTATGGGATGGGAGAATCTATTTCATTAGATCTTGTGAGATAAAAGTTTTCACTATATTGGAAATATACGCAGCTGAAAATATAACAAAGATTATATCTTTGCTAACAAAGATCGTATCGTTGCTAACAAAAATTGTATCTTTGCTAAAAGTTTCTTTGCTTCTGGGCATAATATTTCATAAAACTGGCTTCAAAATCTTCATTTTTAGAAATGTAAAACCTATTTAATTACTCAGATGCGAGTAGGCAGTTACCATTTCCCCACCAGGTGGCTAATTCGGGTGAAATAACATTGCAGGGTATTACAAAGTTCCCTTAAACTTGAATATTCTTAATTTTTATTGGTTCACATTTCATATTACTATTTTGTATCTGAAATAAAGATTGTTTTCAAACTATTGAGTTTTAAATAAGTCATTTTGAAAAATGCCTACTTGTATGTACACACATACAGCACTGAATATTGATACATTGAGAAAAATATTCTTATTTTTTTCATTTGAACATTTAAGAGATTAAGATTTTAAACCGCATTAATATGTCTTTCACCATGAGTACTTCCTGGCCATAAATACAGTGTTTATTATTAAAACAATGTGTTTTCTTTCAAGTGAAGTCTCCATGATTGTAAAATATCTATCCAGCTTTCTGGAAAATTATGGATTAGGATCCCACCTTGGCACTTCATTTTATATCAACAATTAATTAAAAGGGGATGGCATTTGAAATGCGCTGAAGTTGAAAACCATGCTATCCATTGTTTTCAGCATAGTTTCCGTCATCGCAAAGTTATACATTCAAAACTACTCTTTCAAACTATTCTACTTTTAGAACCCTCGTTAGATATAATTTTTGTATTATTTTCCACAGCCATTGAGAAAACGGCATACATTTTCAATAAAAAAGTGAAAATGTTTGTTAACTAATAGACATACAGTACAATATCAGAATTTCTGCTGATTTAAACATTTTGGTGACCATTTAGTCAATGGTAAAAATCATATTTAGATAATAAATAATTTGAGATCTAACTTAATATAATGTAACCATACCTTGACGAGATATCTAGTAAGTAATAGGTAATCAACTCCTTCTCTGGGACATTTTGAATTTTCTGAGGCATTAATCATAAAAATAACACCATCTTCAATTTAATTGAGTATATATGGCCATAGTTTGAAGGAATCTGAAAATAATTGCAAAATCATATTTAAGACAGACGATGGACTGACAGACTGGCGGACAGAGGGCTTCACTATATCCCCACTGAACTTTCTTCATTGGGAAAATAAAGACTGTAAACCTTATCAAATTGATTCTACCACCCCATTAATGTATACTTGGACATCAATCTTACTATTGTAGCATGCATACAAGTGAAGATATCATATTTGTTACATCTCTGGCAGCCATTTTGAAAAAGGCATATTTTTTAATATAAAGAGGAAGTTCCTTATTTTTAAGACTCAAACCCATACTAAATTGATTCTTCACCCACAAAATGTATATTTAGGAACCAATCGTATCATTTTATCATGCATAGAATAAAATATATTGTCTCCGTTGCATTTTTGGCGGCCATTTTGAAAAATGTGAATATTTCCAATATAAAGCGCCATCTGGCGTGTGTCTTTGGATAAATTTGTTTCTATGGTCCTAAGGTGCTCTCATGTCAAAGGAAACGTTTGCATCATAGATTGAAGTCCAGACCCCCTAAAATGCAGTTAACCCATCTACTATAATGTAATATCGAAACAAATGAGACTTAATCAAGAATGTAATATTAGATGTTTTATTTTAGTCTTTGTAATACTCAGTTAAGCTCCCATCACATCAAAGTAGTAAACCAAAATACAATGCCAGTTCTTTTATTTTACACGGTTGAGATCTCAATTCTTGCAACATTATTTTCTTCCACTCGTTTTAAAAATTTGAGAACCCTGATCATGTACATATGTGTATGGTAATCCCAATATCCTTAATCGAAACGCTCAACACAATCATTCAGGCCCGTAGCCAGGATTTGCCAAAGGGGGTTCACTTTTTGAAAATTTCCAGGGGGGTTCACTTTATTTTGGTTCAAAACTGGCCAAAATGATAAATTAACATGTGTGCCTTTAAGGTAATTTACTAGGAACCCTGAGAACACTGAAGTATATTATTGAAAGTATAATGTAAAACGTTCCGTTTATTTGCAGGTTTTGTATTACTTATCATATGCAAATAATGGCATTTAGTATATTATGCATTCTTTATATGCCTCCAAGGTTAAGCTAACTTTCCAGTTAGGTTTTATTGACTTAGAAATTGATTCAGTATTCTTCATTATTAATATGTTTCATTTTATGGATAGTCATTATTAATACATTTCATTTTATGGATAGCCATTTTGTGACTCAATAACACATATTTATACTGAGTGTAAAATAATGAAAATTATACCTAATGTTGTTTTCATAATCCTATGTCTAATGAGATGACAAATGGTGCAGTTATTTTCCACAAAATGGTTTCAAAAAAGAGTGTCCACTGGTAAGGATCAGGATATGTGATCACTGTTTCCTTGTGTTTTAGAAATGGCAGAGGCGATCAATCAATTTTGATTTTTTCCTTGCCATTAATGAAGTCACTTTTGAAATTCATATTAAGATTATACACATGTCACCTTAGAAATACTCCCTTTATACCTCAGTATTACTTTTTGAGGTTTTACTGAGCTGGGTAAGAACCCCAGCAGTAAAGCTTAGGGTGATATGAATTGCATGATACATATATAATTTTAATGGAATTCTTATTAGCCTCAACACTGCATTCTATTGGTGAAAGCTTTTGTATGATAGTGACACAAGATAATGAGTTTATGGAAGGTTCCCATCCTCAATTTTGAAAATAACAACCATCATTCAATGTAACCTGTCACCCTGTATTATATGATATACCTTTAAATAATACACAATGGGTAAAATAGAGAGCTATTCTTTTGACACATTGTACTATAATAGTTCTAGATTCTGACTGTTAGTAAGCAAATACTATTTACAAAAGCCATTGTATACAAATGTGATTGATTATTTCACATATTCAGTTTCTATAATGGAACACACACTTCGCTCTCAGACTGAAAACTTCAGTCATGAATTTGGGTCTTGCGGTCATGCGAACTTTTAGCACTAAAGACTTTTTATTGTATTTCTTATTCAAAAAAGTTATTCATTTGCAGGAGTTTTATGAGAATTTTTGACAATTCAAAACAATTAAAAACAGCAAGGGAAATTAAAAAAAATTGTTTCCTGATCATATTATACTTTCATTATATTTTAATTTCACACTTTATTCATATATCTAGCGTTCCATAATCTAATCATTGCTATTGACTTCTTTCAGTCATTCATGATATCGTAGGGACAATGTACAACAAGAGGTTTATGGAGGAATTCTTCAAACCCCAAGCCTTATACTCTAAGAAGGCAATGAGAACAGCATTTGACAGACTAGCCCATGCTTCAATCATGAAATTGAATGCTGCCAGCATGGACAAAGTAAGTGATCAAATTTATCAAGCTGCATGAATCTTAATGGGATTTGACATGCATTGTACTCCATCAGAAAAAATGATACTCCTAACTAACCAGACTCGTAGCCAGCTTTTGGCAAGAGGACGGGTTCACTTTTCAGAAATATTCCAATGGGGTTCACTTAGCCCAAAATCACAGGAAAAATGCTTAGAATTGTGGCCGTGGTGAGGGGGGAGGCCCTAGCTTCTGGCCTGCTTGCATGAAGAATTGGTGCCGCTAGTAGCTAGTTGAGTCAGGAGAGGCAAGTTTTTAAAAATACATCAAATTAATTATTTTTAAGTTGCAGTCGGTTGAATTTGCAACCCACTGCTAACTTTTCGCTGATACATTTCATTCTTCCATTGCAGCTATATGACCTTATGACAATGGCATTCAAGTACCAAGTATCTCTTTGTTTGAGACCCAGTGATATATTGCTAGTCACCCTCAATCACATAGATGCCATACATGCCTTGGTCCAGGACTCACCAACTATACGACAGCAAGTAGAACATGTTTATAGACTTCTTATACAGGTGAGACTGAGATTATTGTTTTATGCCTTGGCTAGCATTTTTGAACTCAACTGCTGGTGGATGGATTAACTGCTATTTTAGGGCAAAGTCGCTTCAATATTAAAAGGAATGTGTCTCCACTGGCAGTTCTAAATTGAGGTTTTGTTGAAGAATAAGACCAAAGTTTTCCACAAATTACGGTAATTTGTACATTATTTGCTAATCTGCATTGTCATCAGGAGAAGATCAGACATAGGCCAGCCAGAGCGTTGCAATTCCCTGGAGGCCTGTGGAGTGTAATTCATGTAAATCATACCCCGGGTCATCACATCTCTGTAGCCATATTGGCTGCAGGTAAGAATTAACTCTACCTGATGACAATGAAATGGGTCATCTTGGGTTTATTGTACTGGGGCTAGATCACATTTTCTGGTGATGTTGATTTGAATTATAGTACATACTTTTTGGATGAATGTTGTTCTTCAGGATTTTCATACTAATTGCTCAGTTCACATCAATCCTGTTTATTTTAAATAATATTTTGATATTTTTCAATTTGTTTTATCATTTCTGATTGATTTGATTTTGTTGAATCAATTGAATATTTCAAAAGGAGCATTTGAAATAAATATGGCAGTCATTTGTGTATTGCGAAATATTGCCATGTGCTTTTAAGGAAGTTATTGATCAAACACTAGTGCCATCTATTAAAAGAGTAATATTCATTTTTACAAATGACTACTATTGACATCTATATTTTATTAGATGAAACATTTTCATGAATAATTCTATTTTATATTCTACCTCAGGACAGTATGTAATTCCTTCGTAATTTTGATTTTGATTTTTGGCATTATAATTATCCTACAGAACAAAGTCTGAGTAGGGGTATAAAGTAAAGCCATCCTTCTGTTTGTCCATCCATCCCATTCGTCTGTTTGGGCAATATTTGGTTCAACTTTTATCTTCTAATGTCTTCGGGACATTAAGAAATTTTCAAGATGGGTATAGAATATCTTCTCGAGATTTTTAAATGGACTGAATTCAAAATTGTTACCATTTCATGAAAATAATGTGTTGTTTTGATAACTTAAATAACATATTTGGTCCATATAATATAGGCTAATGCCAAAGGCAAAGGACCTCTGTCATGGGAATAGATTTTTCCTAAGGAGGCATATCACAGCCTTATTATTTCCATTAGTCCTATATTATATTCAAAATTATCATTGATTCTGATAAAATATGATATAAAATGTTACATGTAGTTAATTGCTGTTTTTCTAGTAAGACTCGCTATATTTCTTATTTTCAGACTTTTGGTAATTTAAATACTGGAGAATTTCAACTTATACGACAGACCTTATTACACTTTTTTCAAGATATGCATATACGGGTGAGTATCAATCATTCTTTTATAAACTGTTTACATCTATGATTATATGGAAACATCTATAAGGACATTTATTTATTGATAATAGTATCTTCTCATTTCTTCATTTAGAGAAGGTGTATACATATACCTGTAGTTGACTGATTGACAAGGTTTCACTAGAATTTCTCACAACAGTCTAAATGAATGAAAACAACAGGCAAAATTAATGGAAATCATGAATTTAACATGGAAAAGTCCCTAAAAACAACAGGCGAATTTGTGGAAACAACCAGTGAAAATCACCTCTTGCCTGCTACTAATGAAACCCCTGTTGATTGTCTTTCATATGTTTATTGTGTCCTTCTGAACTTGGAATTTTATCATGATTTAATGTTTTTTTAGGTTTCAATTTTCTTAAAAGATAAAGTGCAAAATTCCAATGGCAGGTTTGCCCTGGCTACTAAAGGACCTGTCCCATGGGGCGGAGAAGTGCCTGGAACTATACGGTAAAAAAAATGAAAATGGTTCAAATAAATAATTCTCTGTAAGTTCAGTATAAAATGTATTAAAACTTTGATAAATTATTTGATCAACAAGTGTAGAATAGTGTATTTGTGTATATTTTGGCGAGCATTGTAATTAGGCAAATTGAAAAAAAATTCCAAATGTTGCCAAATTAGATGGCAACATCAGGGAGAATTTTTAAAAATCTCTATAATTTAGTTATCTATTATATACATGAATTAAGATCTATTTGTGATTGCATATGAAATTTTCTTATTGTATTATAGAGCAATTGCTAAGACATTGTTTGTTTATTTCTTCAATTTTGTAATTCTAGATTATTCAATGCTTCGGGTAAAGAGACAGACACAGAATCTTTCCCACCAGGTGGCTCTTATGTCAGCTCTAAACGTGAAGGATCTGTAGATTTAAAAGGTATGCAATATGGAGTTCAAATATCTCAAACTGATATTGTCTGTTAAATCTAATATGCTGTCATGCTAAACATAATTTAATTGTATTATAAACAGTTCTTATGCATCTTGTACCATGTCACATGATGTTATTGCCTAATTTGGTCAATTGTAAAAACATCCCGTGCATACACTTGAACCAGTTGATGTTAAGTGGTTGGTGTTTGACAGTTTGGGTTTAGCATCTGTAAAAAATGATGGGTGGTGGCATTTTGTATGTCAATGCTTTGTTTAAAATGTTGTCCAGTATTATGATGTTTTGAATTGATATTTTCCTAGGTGACAGAGTAACTAAGCTAGGTACAAATATGTATGGTGTGGCTAAGCCTTCAGAAACAACTGTCCTACCTAATAAAGTCACCAGTAAACCTTCAAGAGAAGTGGTGAGTGTCATTTATTTTGAATAAGAGATTTTGCTTTTCTGGGTTTATGGAGAAATAAATGTTTAATTAGTGGCCTGAAGATTCCACATGGGAGGAAATATCTGAATTTATTGCATAACAAACATGCTTGCTATTTTACGATTGGTTAAATCCAGGCCCATTACATGGAAGATATCAGGGATATGTACTTGGAAGTTGCCAAAAAAAAGAAATTCTGATTTAATGCCAATTTTAAAAGAAAGATTAAAATTTTGAAGTTCTATTCAGCTCCCTATGTTGTTCTGCTTGCATTTGTGGTTCATAATTTTTTTTCAAAACATGTTTCCAAAATTCCCATTACACATAATTTGTTTCTGATTCTTGCCTGATGCAATAACTGTTAAACTTTAATAGGACACCAGCAATCCAGATCCCAATGCAAAAGCTCAACTAGATCTGCTGTCACAGCTTATTGGAGGCCAGCAGAAGAAATCTGGAAAGTCAGAGTTCAGGCTCAATCTCTTCAATACAGATGAAGAGGAAAAGTAAGTGTAATGTACTTATATCCTGAGTTTTAACACCCAGTTTAAGTTTAATGATAAAGTTTAGTGCAGTGTACTTGTATTCTGAGTTTTAACGCCCAATTTGAGTTTACTGATAAAGTTTAGTGCAGTGTTCAAGTATCCTGAGTTTTGACGCCCAATTTGAGTTTGCTGATAAAGTTTATGCTAGGTTTTTATTTCTTTATTTTAAGGGATGTGTGTACAGTAAAATGTGTGTTTAGTGGTATACCCTTCATTCCACTAAAAATGTTCCACTTAGGAGGTGTTCTATTTAGAGGTTCAATTAACATGATGTCAATGGGTCACGGAATTGCGAAAAAAAAGTGTTCAGTTTAGGAATTGTTCACTTGCAAAGGTGTTCCAATTTACAATTTTCATATTTTATATTTTCAATATAAATGGTAATACAGTAGAGTGAAATGGACAGCTCATTATGGAAACCCCCTTATTACAAAACATTTTGTATGCCACATGGATGCCTAATCAGTAGCGTATATTATATGTGGCATACTTCATTCTATTCTATTATATGTCAATGTGTTTCCAGAGAGGCTGAGGCCATGAGACCACCAGAAGAAGAGGGATCTAAAGTAATCAATATTGATGCTAGGAAGGTAAGTGCTGCCCGTTGTATGTACATAATAATAGGTTTCCCATCAAGTCTCTCCCTCGACCACTATCTTTCCCAAATGTGTGTGAGAAAGAGAACAGAGGGGGTTGCAACGCATTTAGTACCTCTAAAAAGTGTTCACTTGGATGTGAGCTACTCACAGAGGTCCATTTCATGTAAGTCACTTGGACTTGGAAAAGAGTTCCACTTATGGAGATGTTCCTCTCATTAGAGTGGTGTTCCAGTACAAAGTCCAAGCAACCTTTATGAAAAGCACATTTTTATGTCACAACCACAAGTGGTGACATAACTTTTTTGTGGATGGCATTTGGCGGTCAGCATTTGGTGTTTATAACAAATGATAGGTTCTGACATTTTGCATGTTAATACCTTTTATGATATCTATTTGGATTGTATTCTTATGCCTAATGCTAGCCTAACTATGAAGAATTCAAGCCAATTCAGTTTACATAAAACATTTCAGAAAAAGCAAAGTGCAGAGTTGAGTAAGATCATGGGAGAGATGAGTGTGGATGATAGCCAAGGGAGAGATGAGGATGACCTACTTGACCTCATGGACAATGCCTAGGAACAACCCTCCCCCTGTAGACTAGTCGATTGCCTTATAAAGAACAAGTGATTTGGATTGGTGGTATCATCGAAAAAACATTTGTTACAAAAGTTCACATCCCACCAGTTAATTATTCTACGAACTGAAAATCATTTTATAAAATGATGATGAATTTATAAGATTATGATGAATATTGTAGAAAATGATGATTATTTTATAAAACGATGATAATTTTATAAGATTATGATGAATATTGTAGAAAATGATGATAATTTTATGAGAGTATGATGAATATTGTAGAAAATCATGATCATTTTATAAAATGATGATTATTGTATAAGATTATGATTACTATTGTAGAAAATGATGATTATTTTATAAAATGATGATTATTCATGAAAAGTATCTATATTATGTAGTAGACAATATTTTTGTGATGCCACTGAGATTTTATGAAGTCAATATAACTTCATGGGTGAGGATGGCTTATTTAGTTTTATATCAATTGGGACCAGATTCTTTAGCATCAAGTGATGTAAATTGCATCCTTAATTAGTAAAAGTAGCTCAGAACAATTTTGAGAATGCAGTAAGTGTGTATGTTCAGTCAAGAATTGTTTAATTTTGTTGACTTGTTCGTTAAACTTTGTTTGTCACTCCCATTTTAATAAGGTCAACAATAATGATTTCTGGACTATGTGTTTATTCAAACATTTGCCAACTTGTCTTGCTTAAAGTGGTGTTGTGTGTTCACTAGAAAAATCAATGAGTTAAAGTCTAAGTGCAGTATGTACATGTAGAGTGAAAACTTTAGAATTGTAATAATGGGACAATGTAGACCAATCTATGTTCAACAGTTAGATGCCGCTAAGGAGAGCTGTACTCAAGATTGTTTGAAGGGGTTTGATTGATGGGGGTATTTGTCATCAATATTCAATGTACTTTAGCTGCTATCAAACACAAATTTTTAAAGGAATTCTGTCCACCATTTATGAGGATGACAAAAGTGTGACAAACAAGGCAAAGTCAAAATAACATTTTGCAATGTATTTTCACTGAATATACTTACAACTATTTTATTGTATGCCAACATAAAGAGCTATTTTCCACAGACACTTAATTTTGTGAATGGAAAATTTACAAAAATATATTTTGCATTTTTCAATTTTAAAGTTCAAAGTATGCTGTATAAATATTGTGAATTTCTGTTTGTCCATTTGTGCGTACTTTTTGTCTCAGTAAATGTTTATTACTTGTATTCCGTCCATTCTGAAGAGTTCAGCACTAATGTTTGTGCACTTTCTCTTCAAGCTTACAGCTGCTCTAGTAGAATTTATCCAGCAAGCTAAACCTCTCGTTAAAACTGCTTAAAAGGTAAATATTTTCATTTCATGCATTTAGAGCTCTATTACTATCTAATTGCTAATATGACAGATCAATTCATTTAGAGCTCAAATATTTTATATTTTGATGTGTTAGCCTGCTTGCGTAATTAGTTTAGTATTAAAGAAAACTTCAGTTTAACAGGGATTTGTAAGTGTCCCATCTAAAAATTTTAAGATATCGTAACATTTTCAGACTGTGTTAGAGAGCACACAGATTTCATTTCGTCAACTGGTGACTGTCAAATAATATAAATCTTCATTAGATATAAATACATGCATATTGACCTTGAGGTTTATTTGTACATGTGGCAGTTAATAGTTGACCCTGAAATAGTAAACCTTCTTTGTATATGTCGTTGATTATAGCAATGAACACATGAACTATGTAGGTGTAGATCTACATGTAGAACAGAAACCTAGGATGAAGATTTTTCAAATTTATTATTTGGATTCAAATTTTTTATTTAAAGAGAAATATGTTTATGACATAAATATCTATTTAACAGCTGATGTTTGCATATGAATCTCATTTTTTCTTAAAGCTTTGTTCATCAGAGACCTTAGTTTACTCAGTATACTCAGTCTTTGTGCTCAGACTTAAACTTATCCATTGTACTCAGAAAGTGTTCTCATTTGGTTGATGTACTCAGCTGGTGTACATAGCGTACATAGCCACTGCACTCATACAGTGTACTCAGTCAGTGTTCTTAGAACATGCACTCAGTCAGTATACTCACTGTATTCTATTTTGTGTCTCAGTACATGGGTATCTGATATATCTGGCTCTAGATTCCTTGCAAGATAAAGGATGTAATGAACAAAGAAAATGTATTTATATTGGATATTTATCATAGATATAATTGTTATTTTATTATAGAGATTTATTTTCGTGAACAGTGTGTGAAATGTTCACTTATTTAGAATTAGATTGTGATTATCTGCATGTGTGTTGTCATATATGTGACTGTTAAATACATGAATCAAAGTATATAAAGGATACATACAATAGTGTATGGTGATACAATGTGTTTAGTGTATTAAAGTATTTGTTGATGTGAGAGGCAGAGAGGACTACAAACTCGTCTTTAGTCCATGCATTATTTGTAAAGTACAGTTCTGTGTAATACAAACAGTATTCTAAATGGAATAAATTGTAAAAAACTACTTTTTGCATTTATGTGTGTATAAAGGTATTACAAGCAGTATCTAGAATTTAAAGTTTTGAAAAAATAATTCACTTCTTCAGTAGGAATTCCACGTGTCCCCTGAATCTTGATAGCTTCACATTTAATAAACATACACAATATTTTTAATTCTTAGTGGTAATGTATTTCTATGTTTTATATTTCTATATTTACTAAGATAACATGCATTTAAGAAATAAATTATATTTTTAAGTACGGTCTGCCCTAAGAAATGAAATACCTACTTAAAATTAGAGCTTACCCGATCAATAAAAAGCCTTTTTCTTGCATTCTTTCAAGATTTCTTTCATTTTGTTTTGGGATTTTACGAGTAAGAGAAAAAAGTCATTTCCCTTTGAATATCCAGTTCAACAAATAGGCCTTAGTCCCTCGATTTGAATACTAAATACAGAATGCATTAAAAATATTTTAATAGATTAGGTTAACTGAATACTTTCTCACTCATAAAACAATAAAAGATAATCTTAAATAATAATCTTTAATCTTGAGACTTAATTCTGACAATCAACCTCAAGAATTGTACAAAACAATAGCAAAATAAAGTAATATACATTTTGAGTAGAGATCTTATTTAACATCCAAGTGTATAACAAACTGTAAAGATATATACTTGGTGGCAGCGCGCTATAATTCATTGGCTGAAGTCTTGTTCAATATCATCTATATGCAATAAACTTGCTGACATGCAATTCAGTCAATTAATAATACATTACATACAGAACCGACAGGACCCCTATTCAATATCATCCATGTTGGTATATACATGTAAACCGGTATTCACACTTGTTATATAATAACAGAGCTTGCAATGATGGCAAAATATCAAAATAGAATTGCAATAACATTACTGAAACCATAGCAACGTAATTATTAATATACTATACATGTAATATTGAGTAATATAATAACATGCATTTCTGTGCTTCAGAAATAATATATGATAACTAATAAGTATAACTTTACGCAATAAACAATTTTCAGTACTATACAGTATATGTAATTGTAATGACAATAACATTTCATACATCCTTTTGAAGTGTATACTCATACATAAATATTATGCATGGAATTATGTGATGAGTTAACGATATGGGATAAACACCACATATTAACTGACCATTACATAACTGATTTATATAAACTGACCATTACATAACTGATTTATGCTAAACTTAAGATATTAAAAACATAATTTCCAAATAAGATCAAATGAAAAAGATACAGTGGCATGGCAGATTTGAGTTTTTTGCATGAGTGTAGTAATATATATCTCATGCCTTTAACTTGGCAAATATATTCTCCAGTACCCGACCCGTGTGGAAAGTAATATGGCCTATCTATTGTCTTGGCAATTGGTGACTGGCATGTAAAAATTTTGATGATCTCAGCTCTAAATAATGTATAAGTGAAGCCTGATATTTGATAGTCACACTTCGTCTAAATGACATAAGAATTGTAAGATATATGAGAGCTTGGATCAAATCTAGAGAACTTCAGTCATCTGTTACCACTCTTTTAATTGTTTAAAGTAAGTTATACCATCTCTGCACCGTTTGAACCAGCCTCAATATTATCCAACAATGGAACCATGCTGTTCACGGTACAATTATTCATATCTTCGTTATTTCCGCAATCCTTGCCTTCTGATTGGTCTACAGCATTGAGAGGAGTTGATACTGAGGCTCCGCTACCCTCACCCATGAGACAAACCTCAGCTTCAAGATTGTCAGCAATTTCATTTTGAGTTTGAGGTAAACCTGGTCCAGCCAGGGCGTTTGTATCGCCATCTGGAGTCGGGCAGACTGTGAAGCGACCAATAGTGTCAGCCAATAGATCTTTAATCTGCATGAGATTCCCGTTCGGTGTTTGAGCTACACTTCCATTGGGTGTTTGTATGGCACTAGACCCACTTGGACTTAAAACAGAGCTGCTCTCTGGAGTATGAAAGCGGTAAGTGTTTGGATGTACTGGCTCTTTTTCATCATCAATACAGAGCCTTGCCGAATGTAAAGATTTCGGGCTACGCAATATAGATGTGAAACTTCCAGCTGGTGTGACGTGGTTGCTGACAAACTCATTGGTTCCAAGCCTTAGTCTTTTCAATGCTGAAACATTTGGTCGAGGAGTCTCTATATTTTGGATGTCCAATCGTGAGTTTTGTTTAGATTCTAGATAGCTGAAATTGTCACCTTCTAGATTAAGTATATTATTTGGAAGTCTCGATGGCATACAATGATTCATGGTCTGTGACGGGAGATTTAAAACGCCACCTATTCCACCAGAGCCTTCTGGGATTCCTTCCATGGGTGCAAATCTAGTGTCATCTTCCGATAAACTGAAAATAGAAATATACAACTAATGCTCAATCATTCATGCACATTTAATGATATATTCGATAGTTAAGTCCACAAATAGAACAACTTTAAAATAAATCAAAACCTGAGGGATCTTTTAATTTCAGATATTTGTTCAGAACGGTTATTTCACGCATATCTAGGCAAGGTGTGTTCAATTCCAGCAAATCCAAATACAATATTTCATATAAATGCAGTGCAATTGCCATATCCAAGGTCATTCCTTTCAAGATGGCAACTTTACTCTACAGATTGAAATTGACGCTTTGCCAACTTGACCCTTGGCCTTGCAAAAAGTTTCATTTAAAACATGTTTCTTTAGTGATTTTGTATCTTTTAAGTGACATGGCAGTACGTTTAAATATTTTGCAATGTGTGAAAAGACTATAAGTCCAACACATGACTCTTGCAAAAATTTGTTTTTTGACTGATTTCGAAAATAATTTACGTTCAACGCTCAATGCATCGTGGAATGATCATTCCTTAACGCTCTACGCTGCGCATCTCATGCACATTATGGAAAGCAACACCCTCAAGTTTTGGTCACTCCACATTACACTGAGTCCAGGGCTTAAATTCTTTCAAATACTTAATTCATTCCACTCAGGCATGTTTCCTAAACTTTGCATTCCCGCTGCACGGTCATGTAAAGATTTGAAAACAACACATTCAAGAGGAATGATTCAGCCCACAATGCATTGAGTCCAGTGCTTAAATCCTTTAATTTACAAATTAAAACACTATAAGGCCTTGTCTGATAATACCTGACATGGGCAGTTGAACCCATAAAGTCATTCATCTTAGTCTTAATGCTGGCTTTGGTGTATGGCAAGTCAGGTTCCTGAAAGTGATCCTCTTCAAAGAATGGATCTCTCTGAAGCTTTGGGAAGTTCATGTACATTTCATCTACTGCAAACAGGGACACCTGAAAGAAATGGACAGATGACATTATGTATCATGAACATATGAGGGATATGAACACACGAGATAAATAGATTATGGACACATAAGATACAATATGAGCTCTTGGCCATAGTGTACGATGACATGAGAGATATGGATACATGGGAGTGATATGGACACATGGGAGATATGGATACATTTGAAAAGTGGACAAATGTGACATGATACATGGACAAATGAGAGACATGGACACATGAGATACATGGACACACCGGAGATATGGACAGATAATAGATATTGGCACATATGAGAGACATGAAAATATTAGACATACTGTATGATCACTGAGCCATATACATATACATAGACACGTGATACCGATATGTTTCTTACCTGTAGATTTCTGTCTATAATCCAGTTAGTTTCAAAGTCATCGTCATCTTCCCCAAATGGATTCACCAACACCTCTGCCACCTAGTGGGAGTACAAATCAATGCTATACTCAATTCCATTCACATCTTTAGTATTTCAATCCCAATAATATACTTCATTTGTGTTCCAAAATACTGTCATTTTACATAAAGCCTCTACCTAGCCCAATAATAGCAAGAAGAAAACTTTAATACACAATCTTCTGCCAGCAAGTGATGCAAGGGTAGATTTCAACATATTATCATAAACTAACATTGCATAAGCCATAATAATTTGTATAAGTCGATGAGTGCATCTTTAAATACAGTATATTACCAAAGTTATTTAATCAATGTCGCTTCAAGTTTATGTGACATATTACCTTAAGCCACCCCATGTAGAAGAAGAACTGGAGCATTGTGAAAACTGGCACATAAAGGTCAACTTCGTAGCCCTCTATATTCTGGGCAGGGTCCAGGAACTGACGTCCAAATATACTTGCAAGGAAGAATATGTACACAGCGAGTGTTGTGACCTACAGAAAACACCAAAGTCATCATCCTTTGTAGGGGACATCACAAAAACCATCCAATGGGGCATTACTAAGCAGAGTGCAGTGAACAAAATGGACCAGATCACTACATCAAGTATAAATACATGTACAGATATCTATATGTATTTGATATATTTAGATACATGTACATACAATTTTTATAGAAATGAAAGGTATTTGGTACCCTTGTATCCTTAAAGGTTAAAAGTAAATCATTGGTTCCCACTTGGTTATAAAGACTTTATAACAAAATGGATGAACTTCCGTTGGAGGACATTTTTGTTTTCATCATCTTCAAGATAACCATATGTTAACTAGGTAATATCCATTTAGTGATAAAAAATTAGTCAGTCACGAGGAAATAATCAGGTGAGGACCAGTAAAAATAGACATGAATATGTAAAGCCTTACTTGTGTGTATACAATCGGTACACTGATCCAGTCATAGCTGTACAACATACCACAACAGCCCCTGTAGTCATGGAGACCCTGAAAATGTCAAACATGACATGACTAAAAACACTTAGTCCAAGGTTTAAATGTTAGTTGCCAATGTCACCTAGGCAACAGTCCCAAACTTTTTTTGAAGGTGGTAACCCACAAAGTCAGTGTTAAATTAAATCAAAATGGTTGCCATGGAAACGAGCTGACTTTGAAAAACCAGGGGATCATTTTTTGAAAACTTATTTCGGAAATCCCAAAGTCAACAGCTTTAAAATAGTGTATTATAAGCGGTGTACCAATTTGTGCATTAAGCAACCCCTTTGCGGATACGAGTACATGTTTGTGATTTGATATAATGAGATTCCTAAACCAACACATCTAAGGTTTACATACCTGAAGCAAGCTGTTGTATGAGATATCATCTTTGATACGTTTCTCCTGCCTCGCCTGCGTCACGAGACATGAAAACCACATCAACGGCAACCAGTACTTATTATGTGATGTTGGCAGCTCATCCATGATCTTTTTCTCTTCTTTTGTCATGACACCTATAAGAGAAACAAGGATCAAGAGAATTGAATACAATCTTTATTTCCATAGCAACATGTCGCTAGGATGTTATGTTGCTATGACAACATTTAAATAATAAATGTACCTACCTTGGTTCACTGCCCGCCCATTTTGGAAGAATTACTTAAAAAATAGACTTCTTGCATGTTTCACCATGTTTGAAATACTGTACCTTTGTAGACTCATGGTAGTTCAATGGGGCACCTATAGGGGGCACTGGTAGTGGTGAACTGGGCAAAAATAACATCAGCATTAATTCTGCATGAAACAACATTGGCTTTTTCTTTGATGAAGTAATATCAGCAATAGATTCTTCCAGATTCTTCTTGCATGGTTGCCATGGTTACCGCTTCTCTGCCAAATATGCATCATTATGCATAACTGTAAGTTTGTCTGCAATCATTGAAAGGTTCATTTAGTACAAGTGTTTGTGAAAGTACAACCCAGTGGCAAATATTGCATATGGCAGCTGCTTGGAGAGTGTGCCATCACATGGTCCTGGACATGAGGGGAGTTTGTGACATATCTATTTTAATTTTCTTGTTTGCACTTAGTGGGGCTAATTTATGCCACATTTAAGTGGCTGTTGGTCTGCCTTTGACAGTTTGAAAAGGGGTAACACGACAATTTGACAATTAATTGACATTAGTGAAAGTCACTGATGGAGAGTAGAAGGACTCAGAATAACTTTGTATTTGACATCCAGACTATATGCTTTAACATTTGCTAGGCTGTACTTGAGTGTGACAATTCTAAATGAGGTAACTGAGTATAAATATGGTACTTGTATTGAGTAGAACATGAGTGTACCTCATGGGAAAGTATACCATTAATACAGCTAAAATCACACTATTGACTGCTGATTTCAGCCATTGTTATATGGTAAACATATAACAAAGCCATGCACATAATTAAGAAGACACTATGTACATTATAAATGTTATGAAGAAAGACTTCATCTGAAAGAAAAGAAAATGATAAGCTGGAATAGAAACAGGGAATTAATAATAAAAATGTTTTGAGGTTAAAGATCCATCTTAACCTATAAGTGGATTACAAGTGCAATTAATATGCAACAATAATCAGGTGTTTTTGATGTTGGTGATTATATGAAATGAAAGACTATGTTGAGGATGAAAAATTGCCATCTTGTCAAAACAGAACTTAATGGATAAAAGGAACACTCTGGGTTAAGATAAAATCTCTTGACAAACCTCATAAAATCAACAAAATGTAAAATCTGAAAAATGTTTGTTCAGTTTTATATCCCAGGGTTCAACTTCTGGCATTGCCATAACTTGAGATTCTCACAAATTCTTGATTATCATTTTTATAGTAGGATGACTTGAATTTAAATTATAAAAAAAAACGTACCTGAAATGGACCCCTGGTATATAGCCCCATTTACACAATAAAAAACATATTGGGAACTGAACATATTAACCTCCCCCCTCTCAAACTGTTCCGAAACCTACCAGCAGCGACGAGATGGTCCACAGTTGGGAAGCGTTTCTTGACAGTGGTGCTGACACTCTGCATGATCATCACCAGTGACATGTGGAGATATCGGACAAGGGTGCGCCGTATTATACGACCTGTTTCATCACACCCATGCACCATTGTACCAATGTTGATCATGAGCCTAAAATAAATATGTTTGGGAAACATTGGTTTTTATTTGAAAATCATCCATTACTTATATAGTGTTCTGAAGAAAAGCATACCATATAAGGAAATGATCATGATTTGTCAAGAGTGCACTAGATTTAACCATGGGCTTTCAACTAGACCAATTGACCAATTAATTTATTCCAATTCTTAAAAATAATTGTGGCTACCTGTCAGGCCAAGGGATGTTCATGTACTGGTTCCACCATCTTGTTACGACAATGGACACATAGAATCCAAGCACAAATGAGATCGGGATCAAATCAGCAAATCCCTTACAGTAGATCACAACCTTCTCAAAGGATCTGCAATTCAAAATAATATGGATCGAATCACGAATCATATATATCATATGTTTAAAGGATCTGCAAATAAGAATTAGAATTCTCAATAATTCGAATTCAGTGCAGGTTGTACATTCTAAAATAGTGTTTCAATATTCTAGAATCTAAAATGTTCTTGGCCACTTTAGCGCCTTTAGCTTCTCACTCACGACTTAAAAATCCTTACATAATTGGCTGAAACACAGAATAAAATATACCAAATCTATGATCGAACACAAGGAAATGAGAAATCACATAAACCCAAAGAGACAACCCATTTCAGTTTGATCTATCACTTTAACAGCTCTTTTTGCGACTCCAGGGAGAGAACTAATATCCAGGAATCATTGCGTGACTTAACTTCTTCCAATTTATTGCACTATTATTGCAGGAATTTGGGAAATTAAGGAAGGGAAGAGCAGATACAATACAGGGTTCTATAACATAAACTAGCCAATACTTAAAATACCTTCATGTTGGAACATACTTTTTTATTTATTTCTTTTTATTATGTAGTTTATCTTCCTGGCACTTTCATTAAATGGCTACAAACTTAACTTTCTTTTAATTTCAATCTTCTCCTTTCTATATTACACAACAAAGAATTCAACTGATGACGTATTATTAGCAGGGGTTATTCAATTACCAGAACCAATTTCCTTTATGTTAGGCAAAGACAAATTAATAAGCTTCATATAAACCCCAGTGTGTGTGTGCCTGAATAGATTTGGTATATTTCTTTTAAACATAGCAGCTATCAATCTCCTGTCTCGCTATCAATTCCATCTACAAATGATACTCCGATCAAACCCAAAGCTTGCATCCTCAGTAACCATAGCAATATGTGGTGATCAATGCATGATTTATTTGCGCAACATATGAAATCATTAATTAATTAATATATCTCTAATATTAAAATGACATGATTTATGGTTCATTCTGAATAGATTGAAAGTGCAATGGGGTTCGGGGAGGTGAAAAACTATTTCACCTTCATTGGGAAGTTTATAACAAAATGGCCTTTCAAGCGAATAGTCTAATAAGCAATAAGCAATATTTGAGCAATATTTTCAATAAAAATGTTGTTCATCCCAAATTTAATATAAAGATTTGCTATTTATATGGTAAAACATGAAATTGGTATAAATTAAAAAATTTGCTCCAAATAAAGTCCAAACTTGATCTAAAATAGGAAATAGGCATGATGAGAATGGTAAGGAATGTTACGAGAAAAAATGCAGTAGAGCCTATAAAATGAAACACCTCTTAAAAGTGAGAATCCCCTGACCTGGATTGACTTAACGTTAAATAAACCTCAGTAAGTTTGACAATACTGTTTTTAACATTTATCTTTATATGTGAATTATTGTACGTATGTATGAAATAAATGGTTAAAAAGCTCCATAACTGGAACACCTCCTGAGTGGAACAACATTCCGAGGTAAGGTGACATAGGCATTCTACTTACAGAGGGTTTTCTGCAATGTAAAATTCTTAGCATTGATTCCTTACATTCATCCTTTAAGTGCCCTTTAATTGGTAAACTCTGGCACAAACTCTGAATGCATTCCATGAGCATTCCCACAAATAAAGGCAAATTACAATGAGGATCAATCCAACAGAAATAAAATTTTATTTATCTTCAAGTTATTAAATACAATAAAAAAAATTCTACATGTAATAATATTGTAAAATTGATAAATTCAAACAACGAGATCTGAAGTTTTTAAGCATTTCCTCTCATTGAAATTGTTCCACTTTTCCTCCCCTTCATATCATAAACAAGGAAACGTATGTGATTTTATTTAAGGGCAAAGAGCAATAATATTTAATCAATAAAGGCCAACTGCACTGAACAAAACCAGCTGATTTCTGTTTACTATTTCCATCTCATCAGCTGGAATTAAACCCTGAAATAAATTGTGACTATAATAATGGAATATAGAGAAATCAAGCAGGAATATGGTACTTTGACTTAACTGTACATCATGTATGGGTATAATAAAGGAATTTTGAGTAGTAGTAAGAAATCATTAAAAAAAGGTATGTCCTGACATTAGTGTGACTAGAATATATTTCGTGTACAGGAACAACAGGAATCCAATATTTCAATTATCTACATCCAGGGCAAGTATAGATGCATAACATTCTATAAGATAGCATGCCATCTAGCCATGTCAAGCTTCTCTTTGTTAAAATTGTAGAAGGGTTATTTGAGGTACACTGTTAAACAATAGTACCAAATGGATTATATCCACAACATGAGTACATTTGAATGATTTGGTATAATTTTCAAAATACCACAAAGCATTAAAGGGCTAGTTACTGTTATTCTTATTCTAAACTATTTTCACAAATATTTTAGCCTGTCATTTTTTCCACGCCACAAGGAGTTCATTTGCAAAGTGCCATAAGTGAGTAAATACCATCTATGAGCACTTGGGGGAGGTCTTTTCTTACTTTGAAGCTACAATGAATGTATGAATTGAATGTTGAAACATGAGTAATATTACTGCAATGCAGTGAGGCAAACATTGGTCCCTTTAATATACTGCATTAAGGACAAACATGAACATCTAATCTTATAAAGTAAAGTGCATACCCTGCGCACAGAGTCTAGTTATAAACTACCAAGATGAAGCTCTCTTTTGAGAAGCAAAGTTGAACAAATGCAAAGGGTAGTCTATCCCTGTTACTGCATTGCAATCGTTTGAGCTGTATTGCAAATTTGAATAAAGGCTAAAGGAAAAGTGTCAAATCAACTTGAGGCAAAATGTTCACATCTTTTTTACATTAAATGGTTAGTACAGGGTGACACAAAAAATGACACCCGTCTCAGGCCCGTAGCCAGAGGGGGAGCTGGGGGAGCGGAAGCTCCCCCCCCCTGGCCAGAAATTATTTCAAAACCTTGCAGTTTTGCACCATTCTGAGAATTTTTCGCATGATTTTTATCCAGAATTGTGAAAAAGCCCCCCCCCCCCCTGGAAAAAAGCTCCCCCTCCTGGTAAAAGCTGGCTACGGGCAAGCGTCTTACGTTGCATAAATTGTATGTCTATGAACATAATTGTCCTTTGGCACATTTAAAGAAGATGTAATAATGCAAAAGCACATCTAGAAATTTCAGATGCATAGCTCAAGTGGGTCTTCTATGAGCGTTACAATATATGATCCATATTACATACACTCCTTTGCAGGCAAACTTGAATTCTAAGGGCAAAATTGTTCATTACCCTTACACATTGAGATATGGCCCTGATCTTCCTTATAATTTCTCTCTTTAAGTCAGCTATTGCTTTGGTTTAAATATGCCAAAGGACACGTCTATATGGTAATGTACAACCAAGTTATGCAAAGTGAGGTGGGTATCATTTTTTGTGTATAACAGACAAATAAATAATATGTAAGTGAGAGAATCACCAAAATCTCTGTCTGACCCACTTTAAATTTAATTAGATTGGTGTATATTTTGCAACTGGGCTATAAATGGCATTGTATTAGGTCAAGCCATATCTTCTCCATACATACACTGGTGATCCACTCGATTACGCTGGTTACCAAAATGAACCGTTTTGGTAACAAAATGTCGGAACGTCGAAGGCACGATTTTTCTTTTTTCCTTATTTCACGCGTTGTAGGCAGAATCCCCACGACGTTTTTTCTCACAACGTGCATCAGTATCATATGTTTTAGAAAATGCACATGTTTGCGAAAAAATAGCTCAGAGTACAACAGAATCGTCGATTTACTTCCTCACTTAAGTTACATAAACGGTTTTTCCAAAAACAGTTAAGATCTGCACTTTTAACCCAAACCGTTTATGTAACTTAAGTGAGGAAGTAAATCGACGATTCTGTTGTCTTATGAACTATTTGTTCGCAAATATATACACTTTCTTAAACATATGATACTGATACACGTTTGTGTTAAAAAATGTCGTGGGAATTCTGCCTACAACGTGTAAAATAAGGAAACGAGAAAAATCGTACCTTCCGGATGTTCCGACATTTTGTTACCAAAACGAACCGTTTTGGTTACCAGCGTAATCGAGTGGATCACCAGTGACATAACAATATATCAGCTTATTAGCATCATGGGTTTTCAATTAGAGTTGAAAGCCCATGTGAGCATATACCATCAACCTAAATGTTTTTATAATACAGAATGTTTCGGAGTATTTAAAAAAATTAACAAACTGAACAACTTTGAGAATTATGGTTCGGATAAAAAGTTTACCCTCAACTAAAAAGATCAAACAATCAATATTCTATCCAAGATTTTATAAGGGACATCTAACAGATATATACAGCCCATTTAATTTACTGCCTTCCCATACCATAATCCACAGTTATTTATATTAAAATTTAAAAATCAGTAGTCTCAAAAATGATTTAAATATTAGTATCAAATTAAGAAGAAAAGTATGTTCTATCTGAAAGGAATCTGCAATTTCCATGTATTAATTAGTTACACTTTTAACCCTGGAAAAACATTTTGAGATACAGAAAGGAAAAATTCTCGAAAATACATGAGTTAGTGAGACTTAAGAAATCAAATCCTTTGACCACCAACGAAACGAAATTGTTGTAAGAAATTTTGTAGGTCTGCTTGTTAAAACAGACAAAAATCACTTAATCCCTGTCTTTCCCACTTTTAACTTCACTAGATTTTTTGCAAAGGATCGGTAGGGATATAAACATACGGTATATACACCATCTGTAGCGATATAAACATTGCTTTTCTCTTAAACCAATCAAAAACACTTATTTTATGTAATGGTCATTATTTGACAACAATTTTATGTGAAAATTATTTATACATATACAATTGTTTCAGTAAACAATTTTTGTTCTTTAGTGGTGCATTTGTTTTTTCTTATTTTCTATCAATTCTTGGGAATGAAATAAAATATCTATCCGAACCTTGTTGGAACAAAATGACATATACACCACCGTTCTAATACAAAGGAAAGTCTGGTTAATTTTAAAAAAGGTATCTATAAATAATCAGTAAATACACCCAAAAATAGTTAAAAGTATATGATCTATTTTATTAATCATTTCAACTTTTGAAACTTTCCTTTGTGCAATTACAATATTGAGAGACCTTAAAACATTGTGGATACTGTACTCCAAATAATATTTGACACTACTATATTTTGTGTTTTGCGATTTTGAAGTTTTTGGCTATAAATATTTGCTAATTTCTAGTTTTTGAAATTTCGCATCTTTTGATAAAATTTTGCCTCAAAAATTTTCCACTTCTTAATTAAATTACTAAATTTCATTAAATTCTTTTATTTAAATCTTTACGTCTCTTGCTTACCATCTTCGTTTATTCAAATTTTCACTGGCTAGTTTCTGAATACCACACAACATTTTGATGTTTTAAACGATTAAATTGTTAACAATGTATAATTTTTCTGAACCTTTGGATGACTGGTGAAAAATATGTTCAACTAATTAGTTCACCATATTGCTACCAATCATTTTGACAGTTATGCTATGAATGATATTGTATATGATCCGGGCTCAATTTACAATAGTAAGTAACTCCATATTATAAGAGTGCCAGTTTCGAAGAAACACCATTCTATTACCTTCTTTCCTTAGCCACATTTATGAATTTATGAATTAAAAAATATTTTAGAGTAATTAAGGTTGAGAATTACAGCTATTAATAATTATACAGGAGTAAAATGGTAAAATAAATACAATATGACAAAACTGGCTTTTTAGAAAATAACTTTTGATGAAGAATTATCTCACCTTTTATGATGTTCAGGTAGAGCCAATCTATAGATTAGACTGAATGTTGTATAAAGGCCCACAAATAACATCATCTCTTTGTACATGAGCTTGTATATGCTCCCCTTCCAATGCAGCAACAGCCTGGGGAAGCCACATAGTCTTGCATCAGGAACTTTATTTGTGTATGTGATTGTCATCTTCTTTTCGGTGATTATTTTCAGTTTAATGTTAAGATTGTTTAGTTATGTGTTTTCACATCATCACACTTCTTGTTCCTCCTTTCCTGTAAATGTGAGTCTCTTGTTGTTGAACATCATCATTTGATTGGTGTTCTCTAAATGATGCAATAGCTATGTTGTCATGGTAATGTTGTATTGGTGCAGTATACACAATAAGGCCCTGGATGTTGAATGGGGTTTCTTATTGTAAATCAAGGGTTTGTTCCCCTGAAATAGTAGAATGTATTCATGATTAGTACAGTCCAGGATCTCCTAGCATACCATTCACACAGCATTATTGACTAATGCATGTAATAAATATTGTATTGATTTTTCAATGTTAATTTACAAGTTCACTATTCGGATATTAGATTGACAGTGATAATGATAATTGGTTTCCACTTCTCTTCAAAAGAAAAACTCTCAAATTATTGTTTGAAAGTACAAGATTTGATTCCAATGCTCAAGAGCATGACCTCTCTTAAAAACCCATTTAATCATCACAATACAATGAAATACATAGTCATGGTGTTAAAATATGACATCATCATATACATGTAATTGCACTTTTAAAAACAAACAAAATCTAGAAAATGAAGTTCCAAAGATTAACAACCTTTTCGACTTTGACTGGGAGTATAATTTGAGACACCTGACATTTCCTGACATCTAAATAGTTAATGACATCACGAGTGCAGTCCCTTGCTAAAAATGTTTCAAATATGTATATGTGTTCTCAACTCCCACATTTAAAGTCTTTATTTCAGACTACTACTACATATTGTGTTAAGAAGGATTTGCTCTATTCCCTGTGAAATACTGTTCACATTAATATTTATACATTATATGTATTCATCATTTAATTTAGCACACTGGCATTTTATCAATAGGTTATTGTCAATTACTATAGCTTATGCTTGGGGCATACAATATGACATGAACATTGAACTATTCAATAGGAAACTTTTTACAAAAGAACAAAGTACAAACCATGAAACAGTTGAAACCCAAGTTCCACAATATGAATTTCATGATCACTTTTGTTATAGTGAATGGGTGGTGATCTAAGACAATTTTCCTTACTTTCCTTTTAAAGCATAAAAATCATTTTCAACACTTCAAAATATTTTAGTACAACTTACAGGGTTTGCATATAAAATAAAATAGAGCAAAATGTTTGAGACGATCACTTCATTGAACAGAATAGTTAGTAACAACTCGATCATGACATGTGCACCAAACAATATAAAAACATAAAAATATAAATTGTTATTTACTCTGGTTAAAACTGGGAGAAATATACTATTTAGGGTGGCAATCCCCATGTACATGTAGATATACTTAACTCAAAAACTGAAAAGCTTAAATATCCTAATATAGACTTACATTTATACCTTACCTACTTGACAGCTCTGACTGTATTAGTATTAGGTTGTGAGTTTATAAACAAATCAAAACAAACTTCCTCTCCAAGTTATATTGGCTATGTCTTTTGTATGTCTTTCTGGCAAACTGAATAGTGCATGAGAATGAGGTATTTCCTATATAATGATTTTACTGCACTTTGTTAAAACCAGTTCTATCCAGTTGAAGCATAAATGAGATGCTGATCAATTCCTAGGCCTCACAGCATATCAAGAACATCTATCGTTGTAATATAACTGGCTATAGCAAATAAAACAGCTGTTCATCTATGTTCATTGATTTTTGTACTTTTAGCTAACCTGCCATCTTTCAATTAATCAAAGATTTCAAAATGTTATCCATGAATTTTTGTACCAAAGGAAACAAATTTCAGAGTAACAAGACACGATGTGAACAATATAAAATACAGTTTTGGGAAGGAAAGTCCAAAATGGACACCAATTTACCTTAAAATGCCAAAGAACTTATCAGTCCTAGATTTTTAGATGATGAAACATCCCTGAAGATTTGCACTCAATTCGTCAAACAGTTAGCCTGGAAATGTGAAGATTTTATAGACAAGATTTTATAGACAAGATTTTAGGACTGAAAATTCAAAATGGCCACTTTAACATTTACCCAGAATTCCGAAAATCTAATCACTTCCAGATTAACATACAAAGAAACATCCCTGAAATTTTTAATTGTTGCGTCAAATGGTTTGCCTTGAAACACATAGACAAGACTTAACAGATGGGATTTTAGGATGGGATGTTCTCGAAATGTTCACTTTTTTGCCCAGAATGCCCCAAAACGTTCATACCAAGAAACAGCTCTAAAACAATATAGGCTCTCCATCACATTGTTATAATAAAGTTTGTAAATATTTTGAATGGAACAATAAACTTAACGTATCTATATATTGCAAAATGACTGGCTGCCTTCACATATAGCAAGAATTCTTAAAAAGCTTTTTAGACTCACCAGTTGCCTTCAATATCCAAAGCGGTACTTGCAGTCGTGCTGTCCCCAGCTCCGATTTCGGTGATCGGCTAGTATAAAAGGTTTGAGGGTATCATTTTGTTCCAGAAACTCGCTAGAGTAAATTATCCTAACTTGAGTAAAAATGTGTGGTAAGTAAATTCACTATGGGCAGTTAAAGAGGCGCCATCTATTCATTTTCAAACAGGGGGTAGGGGTATAAAATAATTTTTAACGCATTTTAATAGTAAAATGACATTGAAATACTAATAAAATCTTATCAAAAACATTATTTACAATCAGTATGAATTTTCTTGTGTGGATTAGGGTGAAAATAAGGGCATATCTTGAAATTCACTACAGGGGCGCCACCTATTTTCGTACTTCTGCCACGTGTAATAACTTATTGAAGATTCGTTAAGGTACGAAATGTACTGAAAAAAATCATTCTAAAGGACCTATATATGTTCATACCACATACTTAAAATTGGATCAATAGCTTTTGTACCGGGGGAGAAAAAAATTCTTGAAATTTAAAATTGTGGCATCATGCAGGATAGGGGTGACCATATCTCACATGATTAACTTCCAAAATATGGAGCATATGTATCTCAAATGTACTCAAAATGATGTATGTACTCTTGCTTTGTCATAATATTACTAATAAGAAGCAGAAAAATGATTGTACAATTTCAAAAAATATTAATTCTCATTTTGGCTTCTGACGTCCCAGGGGTGACCATATCTCACCTTGATAACTTCCAAAATATGGAGCATATGTATCTCAAATGTGCTCAAAATGGTGTATGCACTCTTGCTTTGTCATAATATTACTAATAAGAAGTAAAAAAAATGATTGTACATTTTAAAAAATATTAATTCTCATTTTGGCTTCTGACGTTCCAGGGGTGACCATATCTCACCTTAATAACTTCCAAAATATTGAGCATTTGTATCTAAAATATGCACAAAATGGTGTATATAGTCTTGTCTTGTCATAATATTACTAATAAGATGTAGGAAAATGATTGCTCATTTTTAAAAAAATATGAATTCTCATTTTGGCTTCTGACATCCCAGGGGTGACCATATCTCACCTAACAACTTCCAAAATATGGAGCATATGTATCTCAAATGTACTCAAAATGGTGTATGTACTCTTGTTTTGTCATAATATTATACTAATAAGAAGTAAAAAAAATGATTATACATTTAAAAAATTTTAATTTTAGCTTCTGACGTCCCTGAATAACTTCTAAAATTATGTAACATATACAACTCAAATATACCAAAAAATGGGGCATATAGTCTTGCTTTGTCATAATGCTATTCATGAGATGTAAAAAAATTATTACACCTTTTTTTAATTGAAATTTTCATTTTAGCTTCTGAATCTGACATCCCAGGGGCAATTATATCTCACTTTGATATAACTCTCACGATATGCAACATATGCATCTCAAATGCGTGCCCAAAATGGTATAAATATAGTCTTGTTTTGTCATATTTATTGGATTCATGAAATCAGAAGTTCAGAATTTATGAATTTGACTGTCTCCCCTGAAGGATGCAGCTACATATAGCCCAGAGACAATAAGATCTACTTTCAAATATTTGCATCTTCTCCCCAAACACTCCGTATATTACAGGAACAATGGACGATAAGTCTTTTGCATGCCTTGGATGCAACATCTTTTGTATACTGGTAGCCTATCAGTAGTGTGAGTAGCCTAGCCTCATTTACAAAAATTGGCCCCTTAACCCCAAATCTGACCCGAAATTTTGAAAACATCCTGAAAGATTAGGCCCAAAAGGCGCATTTATGCCCAAACATACACCAAACTGTCCCACTGCTAAATTACAAGGGCGATAAGTCACTTCTAATCCTGATTGACATTCTCTAGTTTGCATGGTTTGTCATGTTGTGCTATATTGTTATTGCCCAATCTCAACAATTGTATTCACTGTATGGCCTACCGTGCCAAGAATAATGCAATTGTTCCAAAAGCTAATCTCTTCTTTGGGACCCTAGAAGTGTGGGACATCACAATCATAGATTAATATTTCATTACAATCAATGTATGTTGTATGACAAACATACAAACTAGAGAATGTTAATGTGGCTAGAAAGATTTATCATTACAAAGAGCTCCTTTTCCCATATTTTACATACTCAAAATCCCTTAATTCAGTGTATAATCCAAGGTGCATATATTGCAGGCCACAGAATAACATATTAACACCTTACATTAGCAGTTGCCATTACTTCATAAATGGAGTAAAGTACTCCCACTATTGACAGGCTAAAAGGATTCCTGTATGGATTACAAAAGATGTTGGGTCCAATGTACAGATGTATGCAAGGGAATAATCTCATCAATTGTACTTGTAAAGGGTGTTTGGGGAGCAGATGCAAATATTTGAAAGCAGATATTATTTGCCCTGAATTATATGTAGCTGTAGAGGAGACAGTCAAAATCCATTGATTCTGAACTGTTGATTTCATGATTCTCAATAAATATGACAAAACAAGACCATTTTGAGCACACATTTGAGATGCATATGTTGCATATTGTGAGAGTTATCAAGGTGAGATAGCCCCTGGGACACCAGAGGCTAAAATTAAAATTTAAAAAAATGCAATCATTTTTTTACATTTCATTCGTAATATGAAAAAGACAGGACTTTTCTGAGAATATTTGAGGATTATATGTTACGTATCTTAGAAGTTATTATTATTTTTATATGGTGCGATATGATTACCCAGGAACGTAAGAAGTTAAAATTAAAAATTTTGAAATGTATAATCATTTTTCTACTTCTTATTAGTAATATTATGACAAAGCAAGAGTGCATACACCTTTTTGAGTACATTTGAGATACATATGCTCCATATTTTGGAAGTTATTAAGGTGAGATATGGTCGACCCTGGGATGTCAGAAGCCAAAATGAGAATCAATATTATTTTAAATGTACAATTATTTTTTTTACTTCTTATTAGTAATATTATGACAAAGCAAGAGTACATTCACCATTTTGAACACATGTGAGATATATGCTCCATATTTTGGAAGTTATTATATTAAGGTGAGATATGGTCACCCCTGGGACGTCAGAAGCCAAAATGAGAATTAATATTTTTTAAAATGTACAATCATTTTTCTACTTCTTATTAGTAATATTATGAAAAAGGAAGAGTACATACACCATTTTGGGTACATTTGAGATACATATGCTCCATATTTTGGAAGTTATTAAGGTGAGATATGGTCACCCCTGGGACGTCAGAAGTCAAAATGAGAATTAATATTTTTTAAAATGTACAATCATTTTTCTACTTCTTATTAGTAATATTATGACAAAGCAAGAGTACATACACCATTTTGAGTACATTTGAGATACATATGCTCCATATTTTGGAAGTTAATAATGTGAGATATGGTCACCCCTATCCTGCACGATGCCAAAATTTTAAATTTCAATAATTTTTTTCTCTGCCAGTACAAAAGCTATTGATCCAATTTTAAGTATGTGATATGAACATATATAGGTCCTTCAGAATGAATTTTTTCAGTACATTTCGTACCTTAACGAATCTAAAATAAGTTATTACATGTGGTAGAAGTATGAAAATAGGTGGCGTCCCTGTAGTGAATTTCAAGATATGCCCTTATTTTCACCCTAATCCTTACAAGAAAATTCATACTGATTGTAATTAATGTTTTTGATAAGATTTTATTAGTATTTCAATGTCATTTTACTATTAAAATGTGTTAAAAATTATTTTATACCCCTACCCCCTGTTTGAAAATGAATAGATGGCGCCTCTTTAACTGCCCATAGCAAATTTACTTACCACACATTTTTACTCAAGTTAGGATAATTTACACTAGAGAGTGTCTGGAACAAAATGCTACCCTCAAACCTTTTATACTAGCCAATCACCGAAATCAGAGCTGGGGACAGCAGTCATAGATATTTTGAGTTTTAGGTTTCTGAAGTCATATGTCATATAAAATTTGAACCAAATCTGTCAACTATTTGAGTTTTATAAAATAATGGTGGCCATTTTGAATGGAGCAGCCATCTTGGAAATTCTTTCTTAACTCCGTCATGCCTAATCGATCATATATGATCGATTTGACGGGTTTATGACGTCACCCGATAAAGAAAAATCTTACCAAAATATCTATAGCATCTTTCCACGCTATTTCCCTATAATTGTTATATAAAGTTGTGAAATAAATATAAATACATTCATAGAATACTGCTTTGTTCACTTATTTTGACCAATTTTGTTGTTGTTGACCAAAAAATAATGCAAAAGAAAAAAATTAAATATTTTTGAAATTATTGATTTCCGGTTCGACCAAGAGGCTGAACCGCGAAATTTAAAATATAATTATTGAAATATCAAGCCATCTAGGGGCAACAGATGCACTTTTTGAAACTAGTTTCAAGTATTATAATACTAGGAGTATCAGCAGACGTAGAGAAGATGAGCTAGATTGATGAAAAAGGTTAGAAAATGTTCGTTTTCATTCAAGTCAATCAAGGCCCGATTTCTGAGAAAAATTCAATTTTCATATCTAAAAATATTTTCTCAATATCCATGCTTTGTGAGATCAGTTCATCAATATTTCCAATTGAAACACATATATAGGGTGTAAAGGGTTACTATATTGTTAATTTTACTACCTTTATGCACCTACAAAACCTTGAATGGCAGATGAATTCACTCTGTTAATTTTTATGGCCGATTTTATAGTGGGCGATAATAGGTGAAAAGCTTTATTTTTTCACTATTTTTCGTCTTTCCTCACTCTTATAGCTACTGTAAGATGTCATGGCACATTAAAATCTTGTTGCAAGGTGTGTAGGACAATCAACACAAAAATATTTTGAAAAATGTTGAGTAGTATAGGGAGGGGGGCATAGGAATTCAGGGGGGAGCATAGGGATTCAGGGGGGGGGGGTGTATCAGAAGCCTTTGTTGGGGAAACCCATGGAAGGCCAAGCAGTTTGGGGATTAATTGCATGTTCATGATCTATCTGGTTTATTAGCAATCAAACATAATGAGTACATGAACAAACAGACATTCACAAGCAGAAATTTGCTTTTAACACATCTTTATACATCTATTATTTCTTCAAAACATTGTAGAGTCATGATTTTCATCGATTTGTCAAATATCAGTACCTTATCGCAGATCGTCTTTGGTTTATTCTAGTGAGTCGTGACAGTGACAGTATATTATTTTTCTATGCTTCATGTAGTTTATCATTTTAAAGCTGTTATGAAACAGAACTGGGTTATTAAACATTTATCAACTGAATCTCAGGTAATAAAAATTATTTATTCCTGAATATGGAATTTAGTTGACGGAACAAATCGTTCTTGCGTCATCTTATGACATCGCTATATTTTCATAATATATGCAAATTAGGCAAAAACAGTATATGAGCAATCCCCCTTAGTATGGCCTATAATATGATAAAAATTATTCAAGTTATAAGTTTATTTGTTATAGATTACATATTTCAATTAAACATTTCGACATAATTTTCCTCGATTTTCCACGATTCCTGGAATTTTTGGCTCGGCATCGCAAACTTTAGCATAATCTAGTTACACCAAATCTTCCTTATACCCATCATGTAATATACCATTTTAAAGCTTAAATCAAGAAGAACAAATCCATGTTTTTCAAAATTGCAATAATTGAGCAGTATTTGAGAAAAACTGTATTGACTGTAGAGATATGACTCAATTTAATGAAATAAAATGCTCAATTTCAGCCTTGTGACGTCACTATGACATCATTATTTTTGCATAATTTATGCAAATTAGGTAAAAATGAGAAATATGGGTAATTCTCTTCATTTTGATGTATGACAGTCATATATTTGTATAATATTGAATAAAAAGCATTTAAATTAAAATTTAATGCACATTTCACCAATTTTAACCACTTTGAGGATCAGGCGTTAAGGAGTTAAGCATTGTACCAAAAAGGTATTAGCCTGAAAGTCTGAACCATATCTGGCAACAAGAATTTTGGTTATTCCCCAGAAGACATATGAACAGAAGAACAGATGGATGGACAAACAAAGGCTTCTCTATATCCCTACTCAAACTATGTTCAGCGGGATACTAACAAGTAAAACACAAGACACAGTAACACACAGTAAGGGGAGGCATCAAAAGTTCGATGTCGGATAGAAAACTAAATAAATTTAGTTAGGGGGGGAGGGGGTTCAAACCAATTTCAGTTTGCTATCCGACACATTTCAACATTTCAAATTTTTGGCAATTTCAACTCAGAATGCCTTGGAATGGTTTAAAAATAAAGATTTTACCTGATGCTTTCTTCGTCAGAATCATTCCAATGGATTCTATTCTATCAATAGTTGTTAAAAGCCGCAAATTACGATAGGAATTAACAAAAACTAGATCGTGTTTAGCAATAATTTTTCAAATTCTCAAACCGGAAGTAAGCGATCAACTTTCACGGTATTTAGTTTTGGGGGGAGGGGGGGTCTGAGTCAAAACTAGATTTATTTAGTTTCCGATCCGACATCGAACTTTTGATGCCTCCCCTAAGACAAGGCTCATTAGTGAATTTGGGTTTCTACACTTACTAAGTGGGGTACATGTACAGTAAAACCTCTATATAGTGAACACCTATGGAACAACAAAAAGCGTTTACTGTAGGTAGGTGTTCACTACAGAGAGGGGATTTCATACAGGAGTCAATGTAAAATGTGTCTTGAAGTGGTGTTTAAAAATCAGAGGTGTTCACTAGAGAGAGGTGTTCAATTAGACAGGTTTTACTGTATATGCATTATTGTTCCCATTGCACATCTCAAAAATTACATTAAATTACAAATACTAGTAAATGTAAAAATGTATACAAAAGTATATTTTAATTCCACTATGGGTATAATTGCACAACTGGAGCATATAAATGATATATATCTTAATATTTATAATGACCTGTTACGTTAATCATTTTAAGATCATTTTTATGATAAATATAACAATATAATATCAAAAAGCAATAAAAAATGCAAACATCCACCTTTGTTATCCCATTAGCTACAATTTTAACCACTAAATTGTAATCAATCTGGACACTTTAAACTGGATGCTTTGAGCCAGTGTACACTTTAGCAAGTTTAGGTGTGCACTAACCATACACGATTCCCATTAAAGGATTGTCATCATCATAATCATTTCAATGTTGTCTATTTGCCTTGTAAAAGTTTTGCATTCTTCATAGCAGTCCATTCGGTGTATTCGTTGCCTTCCTTTAGGCCTCCCACCATGCGCCAGGGACTGTATGGAGTATTCAAATTGAATACATAGTGATGAGTGACCATCCTGTATGTACCGAATGTCCATATTAGGCCTCCCACCATGCATCAGTGGATGTTTGAGCAACTTGAGTTGAATACATGGTGATCTGAGAATAGTGACAATGAGGTAATCTGTGTATATGTTGTTTCAGAGTTGCTGAATCTCCAAGGATGGGATAGACAATCACACTGAATCCAGCCCTCTTCCTGCCTACCCTAAAAATTCAATGTACAAATTTATTCCATGATGTTGAAATTCCCTGCAATCTGATTGGTCCACATGACTTAATTAAATGTATTCTGCGCAAACGCCTCCTGAAATACAGACTTTCTCGGGCAGAATATTTTCTGTATTTCACTCGAATCATTGAATAACTTATAGTATCACATTGTGTATGTATTTGCACACATAGAATACAATAACAGTTAAACGAGTGTCAGCATACAGTGCTTAACATGTCTATAGAGAAAAAGACATATCTGCAACCCTCAGATCATAATATTATTAATTACCTCTTCAGACGAATCAAGCAAATTTATTTATGAACTATTTGTAAAAACAACATTCAGTAGATGGATGTCCCATCATGCAAATCACAATTTTAATTAAATTGTCACAAAATTGGAAACATTTTTTGGACTAAACTTTTTTACAATATAATTTAAAGCAAATACTTTGACACCTCTACTTCAATACTGAATTACTGGTACATATACTGTTCTATTATTCCTGTTGGGACTAGTATTAGTTGCTCTGTCATAAAGTTAACTTGACAACACAGTGGAAGATCTGTACAGTGTGATATCATATACTACACCCTGCATGTTATAGAACATGTACTTACCTTGATATAAGTGCTTTCATCAAGTGTTTCCCTGCAATAACTGTTGATCCCGAAAACAATTGCAGAGCTGCCAGTTGCTTACACTGAAAACAACAAAAAATAATTCATACTTTCCATTTCAATTCAGGTAGCTCTGTAAGGAATAAACCATGAAAGCCAATATTTATGAACTAAATATGATATTCTGGACACCCTGTATTTACTTGTCAAATCATATATTCACTTAGAATCCTAATAAATATGATCCATTCAGACTTATGAGACACCCTGTCCTATCATGAAATCATGTACTGTATGAAATCACCAAATGTAATGTTCTTGGGCACCCTGTGCTAAATCACAAAATGGCAAGACAAGAACATAAGCAACTTCATAGAGTCATAGAGTAACAAACAAATCCTACAAAATAAAAACATAAGTTATCAAATCATCCATCAGGACATAGCCAAATGGCATTTTGATACAAGCAGCAATTTTGATCAAAATGCCCCATTGAACAGAGTGGTTGTAAACCTAGAAAACATTTTATTTAAATATGACCAAAGTTGTAAATGGCAGCCATTTTGAATTGACCAGCCATTTTGATTTAAAGGATCACTCATGAAAAACAGCCAGGGAGACTTCCTACATGTTAATATCACACTAAATAATAATTATATTATCTTTATTGATTTATTTTCATCTCAAGACAGATTTGTGGTAAAAAGGATATTTCAAATTAACATGATTTCTAAAATATTGCCCGAGACAGTGTGGCTTATGAGAGACATTAATTAACAGATACCATTAAATGATATACAAGGCATTAGCATGCAAAATGCCACTACCTGCCATTTGTTACAAGCACCGCCTGCCGAACACTTAACACCAACCATCAACCTCCAAACACCATCCCCAAAAAAGTTGGAGACTATAACAATATGTCACCACTTATGGTGGTGCCATAACAAAAAAAATGTACACAACTCACCTGTTCCACAAATCTTATAACATGCTTTATGATAAACTTGCTGTCTTTGGCGATGCAGCAAAATCTCTGTAAACCTTTGCAGTGTCCCAAAGCAATCCAAAACGCGGGGCTCAGCTCAAAATTAGGCTGCTCCAATCTAAAAAATAAAATATAAACGCATTTGAGATATTTATAGCTCACAATTATTATTTATTGTACAAGCATTATTTCAAAAGTGATCACCAACAGTACAGGGTGTCCATAATGTTGCAATTAAATACAAAGTCTGTATAAGGAGACTTTATATACACCCTGTATTTGAAACCAAGATCTATATTGATGGTCAACTTCTCTCCCTCATTTATCATACAAAGTTGATATTAGGAATGTAATATAAAAGTTCACTCCTTATGATTATTCCCTGAACATTGGAAACCTTGTTGAATTTTTAACAGGCAGGTTAAGCTATTCAAGCCAACCTGTATGTAAGCTTGTAATAGTTTGACCCTTGGAGATTACTGTCCCACTCTCAATTCACTTTTCCAGGGATCTAATTACAATTATTTTCCACATACCTTTATACTAAATCAGCCAAGCAAACAATACATAGAGGACCATAAACCTAAACATTAATGTACAAGTTTTTTAGAAAATGTGTAGCTAAGCTTCCCCTATACAAGTATATGATTTTACCTGAACAGTTGAAGGTTCTGCATGTTAGGTAGAGCCTTGTTCAGAGCTAGCTGGTATTCACACACATCTGTCGCACCCAGGAAGGCAATCAACAGCTCACTGATGTTTGGACAATTCTCTGATATTTCCACAAGGAACTGCCCTGAATCCACATCTAAATCAAAGACAGGGACACAGATGAGGGGTGGGAATGATGAAGCATAGGACAGATATGGGGTTAGAAGTTATGTTTGAAGTTATGTTTGATAAAGCACCATTTATCTTTACAATAGGTCCATTTATTTTTCAAAAAAAACTACATGTGATGTGATCTGACCAATAACAGTCTGTCATTTTAGTTTGATATGAAATATGCGTAATTATACTCACTGGGAATTGCTGACAGGACAAGGCGTCTCAGTTGGTGCCATTTAGATATATAGACGAGTTCACTTGCAAGGACATTTTGTGCACCATCACTGAAAAATTAAGATGTTCCCAGGGTCATTAGTCATTGTCAACAGTATGCAACAAAAATATCATTATCAATACAAACGTTTCATTACTCAGCATTAATACTACCAAATTGTAACTAAAAATTATGTAATTGTTCAACTAAATGAACATTTTGCACTCACTTAAGAACTTAAGAACACTGTGCATATACCATAACTCCAGATATAACATTGTCAGTGTTAACAATTGTCACCACCAGCTATTTGTTACAGATGCTGACCACTGACTGCCTAACACTCTCGTGGCGACATAATAACATTACAGAGAGCACTACTTACCAATAGTTAAATTTGTGATTGCTAGGACTGATCTGCCCACCAGTGCGATGACTTCTATGTAGGGAGGATGTAAAATGACTGTTTGCTAGTTCAAACTCTTGCATTTCTGGACATCCATTGACTAGCATCTCCATACATGAAGGTACGACCTCTTCTGAAATACAATAAATGAACCTGTAATACAATAATAAAACTCAGTACCCTTAAGGGCTTCAGGTTCGTAGCCAGGAATTGCCAAGGGGGTTCACTTTTTGAAAATTTCCAGGGGGGTTCACTTTTGACAATTTTGGTCCAAAAATGGCCAAGATCACTTAAAATGTGCTCAGAATGATGAAAAACTGCATGATTTTGAAAGAATTTTTGGCCAGGGGGGATGTTCACTCGAACCCATCGAACCCCCCTGGCTACAGGCCTGGGCTTTCAAAATGTATTCCTGGGCCTCAGATATACAGATAATGGGACGGTCTAAGGCACACTCTGGTTTCAAATACAAACTTTTGAGTGTTTATTCTGTCATAAAGACTCAATTACAAAGTGATTTTTCTCAGAATGGTTTCAAGACATTAAAACAAACATACTTTTCTCATTGTTTTCAGCTGCATTTTTTGAATTTTTACTTTCCCTGGTATGTATCACATTCGTTAACCGACTAAAGATGTCCTCTTTTGTCTTTGTTTGCTGATCTAAGTGACATAGTGGCAGAGCCAGTCCTTTCAGTTCTGAAACATAAAACATTATTGATCAAGTATAGTATTCTCTAATGAGAGCACACAGTGTTAATTGTTTCCAAATTGAAATTTAAAAAGGTAAGATATTGAGAGATTCCAAGAAGAGCACATATACAGGGTGTCAAAAAACAACGGCACCCCCCTCTACAGCAAAAAGTCCTGAATGTTCCATATTGTGTCATACATCATTTGAAAGATAATTTAATTCTGGAGTTACTCCTCAAATTTCATTTAATAAAACTTTATATTAAAAAGCTACATTGTTTTTAAGTTTGCTACTTTGGTACCTTATTTGCTGCTCTGTTACTGGTTAAAGGTCAAATCTTCAGAAAGTGGAATATGAAAGAATTAGCTAAGATTTCAACTGCACTGAACATATGGGTTCAGTTCTGAAAAACCGGGTATAGGAACTGATGGACGAAGTGCCTCTTGAAAAAAGATACAGTGAGGATGTATTTCTGAAGAATTCGAGGAAAGTGCTTAGAGGATTATGCAATGCTACACCTTTATCTGAATTTTCATTGAAATCATATCGATCCAGATAAGCTGCTGTTTGAGCAGCAACTGGCGGATTACCAACTACTAAGAATCAGCTGTAAATCTGTAAAATTATATGATATAAAGCTGAAATTTCTCAGGTAACTCCAGAATTAAATTGTCTTTAAAATGAGATATGACACACCGTGTAATATTAAGTACTTTTTGCTGTAGAGGGGGGTGCCGTTGTTTTTTGACATCCTGTATATATCTAAAAAACAACATTATCAATCGTTTTATTTTAGATGATATTGCAAAGGTTTATAAATATACTCTACAGCTGCTCTGCATTAAATATTCATCAATTGATATCTTATTGTGTAAATACATGTATGGTGGTGAGTCGTGACATAAAAATGGGCCTCATTCATATAATACATGTACTATTATCTTACTGCGATTAGAGAAAATTAAAGTGTGGCACTTTCAAGCACTTTACCAAGGAGAAAAGACTGATAAGCACTCACAAATAACTTCACAATTTCCAACAAGAATTCTGTATATTGAGGAAAGGAAGTAATATACTCAAATAAAGCAGTAATATATCAAGGCATAAACATGCAAAATGTCACCACCTGCCATTTGCTACAGACACTGAACTCCAAACGCTGACAACTGCTCACCGAACACTGTCCACAAAAATAGGATAATATTACAATATGTCACCACTTGTGGTAGTGACATAATAGAGCTTATGTTTATCATCATCAGAACTACTATAGCAAATTAGGTAAAACCAGCAGTGTTACAGCTCCAAAACATTAACTAACTTTTTAATTTGCTGACAATCTCTGGGACAGTGGTGTGAGCATCTGCACATTGAATTTGTGTTTCCAGATCTCTATGATGCAGAGGGTTGCAAATGTCTGAGAGATTCAAGTATTCCAGATTAGGAGCATATTTTTGTATTGCTTCAATGCCATCCATGCTAGCATTATTCACTCCACGCTCCACTAAAACAACAAAACACTCTGAAAGACTTAATGAACGCAGCTGTGAAAAGTTTGATAGCAGCTGTTGCAGGTCTTTACTGTCCAGACCCCAGCTATTGACTCGTAAAAATTCAAGTTCTACTGAATCTGATATTGGGATTTCTTCACATGGTAATGATGAAAATATGTCACAATTTCCAATATCAAGGCTGGTAAGTTTTGAGCTATTTTGTAAGATATCCTTTATGTCAGGGTCTGATTTCATTTCTGAGAGGTAGAAGCTGGGTATGTGGAATGTCTTCCACGGGACTTTCAGTTTGCCGACTGATTTTGCAAGTCCTTTGAACATCATGTAAGTTGTGACATCCCATTCAAAAGATTGAGTATACACACAGAGGTTTTTCAAAGCGTTTGTCTCCACCATAAAACTAAATGTTTCATCAGGCATCTTGTGGCAGATCCCTAAAAATATAAAGAAAATATTCACTTAAACTTCAACAAACATTTTAAATTATGAGTACTTTGTGAAGGATGCACTGCGCGATTCAAGATTGACTCAGGCCTTACAATTAGTCTGAGAATAAATTACTCAAAACTTTTACTTTTAACTTCATTCTAACTTCCATTGATTGTTCAAAGTAAAGCATGGAAGTTAAACGAACAACGATACACCCAGATTTTGTTTCAATTAAAAATGACTCTGACTACATCACAAATGTTGCGATGATAAAAAGTTCAACTTACCTGTAGTTATGTGAATCTCAGAGAGTGACGTGCACATATCTATGAATGAATGTAGTTCCCCTATATCCCCATCATAACCTACAATTTCCAACTCTTTATCATTAGGGTTCGGGTAATGTACCTGTAAACACAGTCGTTCCAACTGAGACAGAACTACATCACACCCTGTAAAATTGACTGCTTCTAAGTCTGATCCTTTTCTAAAGGTAAATGAGAGGATGGTCAGTTTTGGTAATAAAGTCAGAATTGATCCAATATCTACTGAAATTAGTTTTGTTCCAATTACATATAACTCTCGTAGATTTGTACACATTTTTATTTTGGCGACCAGGGCTTGTCGAGTCATCCAATACACATGGTTGAGATTCAAGATTTCTATGTCTTGGCCATTGTTACTTTGTTTTATGTATGCTTTAAAGCGAGTCTCTGACATTTTGTAACAGCCACCAAGTTTGGTCTCCCTGCAAAAGAGAAAGATAAGAAAATAATTGCAGAAACATTTTTAAATTATTTATCAAAAAAAAACGCAACAAGTAGTTATCTCATAAAATCACAAAACTAGTGATGACTACATCAATTTCATTTAATGTACCATAAAGCCACGTCTCTCTTCTTTGCAATGACATGTCATTCATTCACATGTGGTAATGGTTGGGTGAGAAATCCTTCCATTTGCACAGTGGGTCAAAATCGGCTCTGTACCAAGTTTTAGATATTGAAAAAATCAGTGCAAGGGCTAAGTGCCAATGGAAGTTCCCCTGAATTGAATTATTGTGACTATTGCATTGGGCTCCGTACACTGACTTTTGCAATGTTTATAACTTGGCCCGAAGCTAATTTTGGCCCACTTTGCAAATGGATTGATTACTCACCCAACCATGACCAAATATCAATGAATGATATATTATTGTAAAGAGGAGACACCTGGCTTTATGGTGCATTGAATGAAATCAATGCTGTTTTCACTGGTTTTGTGCTTTTCCAAGATAACAATCTGTTGCGTTTTTTTTTGATACGCACTGTATAATATGTGTCTCTGAACTTTAATACTGCATTAACTTACTCTAAAGCAGTATACCTTTGATGATTGCTTTTGGTGTTTGATGGAATAGTTAAAATGGCATATACAAAAGACTGGTTTTATTACCCTGAGGGAGCACCTGTGAACAAAACAAACAAACAAGGTAATCCAGTGAATTTCATGAGAAAATACGAAGGCCACATGCTGGGCATAATGCTCTGGTAAAAACTGATCCACTTTTATGAAAATACCATGGAGAATGACAATGAACAAATTAAATGATTGTTTTGTTGGTCTTTTGTTGTTGGTTTTTGTTGTTGGTGAGGTAATATTGATTGTTATGACGTCATAATATAATGTGTGACATTTCCATTATTTGTTTGCTTAAGTTGCTTTTGTAAATATGTGACTGAAGTCATAGATTTATGTGATACGTCATATCTTCGATCACAATCACACCATTTGACAACTTCGCAGTTGCCTCAATGATTTGCCAAAGCTAATAAAGGCGGAACTTAGGTCACATGAATGGTCAACGCCCATTCCATAGTACGAAGGGTACCGCCCACTTCGTGGAGGTCGTTCGTAATAAAAATCTGAGCATGGCCTGTGAACACAGGAAGTTGTATCAAGTCCTTTTTGGGCCTAACAGAGCTTTTTGCCCTTCCCCACTCTCAGAACAGATGTACTCAGAACAGATTACATCTGTTCTGAGAGCGGGGAAGTGCGAAAAGCTCTGTTAGGCCCAAGAAGGACTTGATACAACTTCCTGTGCCTGTAGTCAAGTGAACTCGACTTAATGTTGTTGTTTCACGTTTCTTTTTGACGATTTGGATATTTGTTTTTTATTTTTGTTTTCAACATTTGCGTCGAGGATATTAAGCCCAGTATATTGCGGTAAATGCTTTTCTGCCCTCTATGCCCAACAAAAGTTACACAGATAAGATAATGAATCCAATGCTTCAACCAGAATGTATTAAATCTTACCTTAAACACAGGAAACACTTGATAATTGAAGAAATGTAATCATTTTCGTATATGTTTGAACCAATTTCCAATATGGCTCTCAAGGTCACTCAAGGTCACTGAATACAGTCTAAATGTGAAATCATGCAACCAGAACGAAATCATATTTATTTATTACCAACATATCTGTTTTCGGTTTCTTCACCCTCCTTGGTGTCTGAGAAGGCGATTCAATTGTCATAAGACGATGATAAACTTTTTCGAGTTGAAATCTCGATCTCAATATGGCTGCCGTTATTTATTGTAATTTCCACGGACGTCAAGTAAGTTTCTGGCGAAAGCCGGAGCATAGATTATTTAGAGGACTGGAAACCAGAATGACCTACCTTTTTATTTCCCGAATCTCGCCTGAAATTAGCTCATCTTGGTGACTGTAACCTGTATATCTGTATTAATAGAGTCTTTTTGTATCGCATCTGCCTCAATTTTAAAGTTTAATTGGTATCTTTAATATGATTTCACTGTTTTTGTGGACTGGTACGATTAAGCCAAGCAAATGGCAGCTGATCTGTTCAAAGTACTTTTAGTGCTAATTATCGCAAATTACAATAATTTTGGAAACAAATTTATACTAAATAGATTACTAAGCATCTAAGGTAAGTAAAACTAGATGAACAACTGAGTCAATAGTGAGAAATAGGCCAAAATGAACTGCCAGAATTGAAATAGACTGCCATCTTGTTTCCAGTCCTCTAAATAATCTATGCTCCAGCTTTCGCCAGAAACGTACTTGACGTCCGTGGTAATTTTGTTTTTCGCTTCACCTAGAGTTTTACTTTTACACAATCATTACCCAGAATGCATCTACACATGGCGAAAAAATTTGTTTCCAGAAAAAATCTTATACTTCTTCAATTATCAAGCGTTTGACATATGTAAGGTAGGATTAAATACATTATCGATGAAGAGCATATTCTAATACATAATTTGTGTGATTTTGGTTGCCTAAACAGGCCAGGAAAGCATTTCCCTCAATTTACAACCGACAAGTGTGTACGACCCTAGTATGCAAGAAAATAACAAAAAATAAATATCCAAATTATCAAAAAATAATGACAAATAAAGCATACGATGGTCGGATTTATATGACTACAGTTGGGGACAAAAATAAATGACAGGTCGATTTTCGATCACCATTTCCTAATTATGGTGGTCTGAAAGCCCATAATTTCCAATATTGTCTAGATAAATATCCCTTAAAATTTGTATATTTTACATTTTGTATAATCTCATCCACTGATTTATGGCCTCTTGTAAATTCTCTTATTTTTAACATTGGAAATCCTCACTTCAGCAAATCTACCTGTCATTTATTTATGTCCCCAACTGTATGTGCCTGTGAATCTTGAGAAATTGGGGAAGTCGTCCTATCATCGCACGGGTACTCAGGGAAACTACTGACGATTTCATATATGATAACTTCAACTTACTTTGAGAATATGAGACGAAAGATCAACCTTTCCTCTAAAATCTCAGTAGTGTTTGACATTTCTCAATCTCCGAACGCTTACACTTTAAGACCCCTTAGACTCGCATGTGCGGTGGTCCTAATTATCGCACAGTCGTCCTAATTATCGCACAGTTGTGTTTCAGATGTCATTTCACGATACTGTATACATTTCTCTGTTTATAACAGATACATACATATGCTGTAATCATTTTTCTATCAGTTTTAGTGTAAAATATCAACAAAATATACATTATACACTTACTTTTCTGTCTTTATTTGGAGGGGGTCAAAATTTGTCAGACGAATTTCACTTCTTGCGCAAAAGCATTTATGACAATGGCGGAAGTAAACAATTCTTCAAAAATGAAGAGATATTTCTAAATATATGAATAAATCATGAAGATTGGGAGTAATGGTGTTGAACTGTTTTTCGTAACACTGGTTTAAAAGATGGTGGGTGCATATTTTAGCTATTTAGGACAATCGTGCGATAATTAGGACCGTGCGATAATTAGGACCACTTCCCTTCTGATAAAAACCTTGTCAAAAACTTGTCAAAACACAGCCGTAGGAATCTTTTGTTGCAGCATGACACCATCATTCGGTTCTCAATGGGCAGATACTGGAGAATGTGCAGCAAAACTGGATCTGAAAGTTTTTCCATTTTTGTAGGTTTTTTAAATAATTTTCTTCCCTCCAAACTGAAGAACCCGATGCGTCGAATTTGCGAACGTCAAAATAACACAAATCGAATAGTGCAAAATTCGAATCGTATAGGTAAAAATGCATTACACAATTAAACCAATCAAATTTAAGATTCACATTCGAATGACTCGAATGGTCGCAATGAACTTTTAAAGTTTTTAAAGTATTTGTCATGAATTTATTTTAGAAAAAAATCATTTCCAGAAAAGAGCGGACACTTTCTTTATCAGTAATAGACCCGCTAATGTAGGAGAGCTGTCAACACAACTGATTAGAAGTGCTCCAAGCAGCTCTGTTGAAACTTGATGCTGTTTTCACATCTAACAAGATGTAGCCTACTTGTAAATAAAATACAACCATCATTGTGCCTAATTCCAGAGTGAAATATATTATAAATAAGACTGAATATATACTATGTTGTGGCACATGTCCGAGTGTGTTTCTCCTCATGTAATTTTGAAATTATTCTCTATTTTTTTTGAAGAAAGTGAGGGAATGCGCAAATCAGCATACACACTTTAATCAAAGGTGGTAGTTTATAGTCTGTATGAAATATCCTGCATTAAATCTCACGTATACCAGTTCTTGAAATCAATTTAGTAGACTAAGTACATTAGATACAAAGTGTACCAAAACAAACCAGACTGAAGAACAGCTGATTTTAGTCCGGGATTTTTGTGCATTATGAATTTATTATATAAATCGTCAAAACAACTAAAGCAATTAGTAAAACTTTTTAGTGCATCAAACATCAATTTGGGTTAAAAAGTCAAATGCACCCATTATTCTAGCTATAAATTCAAATACAAAACGTTAAGATCTTGCACTGTTAGCCCATGACCTCCCTATCCCCATACATTTATGGAGCTTTCCTTGTTCCTTTCCCTAATTCTGTCATTTTGTGTGAATGTTTTACTGGCGATCGAACATGTGAAGGAAGTTACTGTGATAGAATTAGGTCTCATGTAAAACTTAACTTTAACTGCAGGCATTCTTTATTACATTTATTCAGAATCAGGGACACAAGTTATTGAGTTACAGTGCCACTATGTATAACCTCAAAATCATCCAGCGTCTATGCTGCTAGCATGCTGTAATACAATACTCTGTACTCAGAGTAGCAGGCCCTAATAGTGAATTGTAGGAGAGGAGTATAAGTTTCACGGGTAACGATGCTAGCGATGATAAGCAATCTCAGTAATGGGGCAATTAGAAGATAAGCCAATGTCTGACTTTCTGTATGGATTTCTGGTTATGTTGCCGGAAAAAAGTTGGCAGCTTTTCATTTCTCAGATACGCCAAGGAGGATTGGCTCCCAGAGTGCAACATCGATATTCTGTCCCATATATGGGCATGTCGTGCTACAAAATTTGAATTCCAACGACCGCCATTTTGTTCACTTCAACATTTGAATTGTGAATTTTGGTCTTATTTCCTAACGAAAAATTCCAAAACTCACAAGAAATGATCGAGACATTGTTTCGAATATTTTGAACTGTTTATTTTGAATTTATAATCGGTTATAATTTCAGAAAATAACTACATTTCTGCGTTTTCATTGTTGGAAAATATCGACTTCGATTCTGGGAGCCAATCCTCCTTGAATTCCCGCCATTTTTCAAAGAAACGTTGAATTTTTTAATCATAAATTAATATTATCCCACTATACAGTGCAACATTTTTAATACCAAATGCAAAGATTGAAAAAAATACACACTATGTCAATAATAAAATGTCATATCTTATGTGCCATGTATCAAAGATATTTTGCAAGTTGTTACGCGCTAAACACGAAACAAATATATGTCATATTCCAAAACGAATATGGCATATTTACTTGCGGTGTATGGCAGATTCAGCTGCGGTATATGGCATACTCACTTACCAATGAAAAATACGGAAGTGCATTGTCGAGTTTGCATCGATTGAATGAACCGGGTAAAAGTTTATAACTTGAATTATTATTATGATTACTGAATCAACAGTAAAGTGTATTGAGTATGTGAACTAATGCAGAAGTATCACTCAGCAATCTCACGTAATAAACTTACTCAATAAATCCAGTATATTGGTACTCGAAGCACTAACAATTGGTAATCCAGCGTAGTTTTACATTTAGATTCGATTCTCGTAACCAATCAAATCAAGGCTTTCTGTATCACATTTTAACCTACGGTATATGTCATACTTACCTGCGGCATATGGCATATTCCGCAAGTGAGTATGATATATTCCGCAGTTGAGTATCGGATATTCACTGAAATCAATGTATCACATATTCACTGCGGAATATGCCACACCCGACCCAACTGCGGAATATGCCATATACTGCAGGTGAGTATGGCATATTCACCCGTATCACAAATACTACGCAACCATGAATATATGCCAGATTTCGCGTAACAATCGTGACATCACTCACGTAGCAAAAGCGTTCTATTTGAATCGTTTCTATAAATGCTAAACTTCAAAAATAAACCAATGTTGATTGTTTGCCCAGGTTTAACATATCACACTTGGGTAAAACTACAATATAACTAACTATGGGGGCTTCAACCCTGGCGGATGGCGGATCCAGGGGGCACCAGGAAAATAAATTAGGACTTTTTGGGCATTACTCGGCCTTTATAGGCCAAAGTTATCAAAATGGGTCGTAAATTTTCAGATTTTTTCCACAATGCACAGGATTTTTTCTGATTTTAATTTCTGGTAGGCTTCATATGGGATATACCAATCCCAAAAGCAACCATTTAAGTTTTATCGCAAATTGATATGTTTCCTAATAGGGGTAATAACATATATTTCAAAACAAGCTGAAAAAAACGAAAAAGGCGCAAATATTATTTATTTCTACACTAAATCAAACAGACTGGTATTGTTACTCTAGGATAATGCATCCAAGGGATGCCAAACTCCACAAATTAAATTTTATGATGCACATTTCTCTCGATTTTGAGAAGCTACGGTCGCATTATACGGTTGCCCTAGATCAAATGTGACTGAGGCATTAATTATTGAAAAGCACCGAATCACGAGGAAATCACGCTTGTACGTATATGCCGAGTCAATGGACGCATTTGGATTATCCGCTTTTAAAATTTGTATGTAAATACCAAGGAATGGCCATAGCCTGTTAGTTGGTACATTGGCATTAACAGAAAAACATAAAAGGAATCTAGCAGCTATTGACTATTGTCTGCGTGTAATTGTTGTTACTTATATAACAAATTGGAATTGGAAACTATAGAGATTATTTACCGACTCCTACGGGACACAGAACGCTGGTCATTATATAAATGAACCTACACTATGGATACTTACAACCGATACAATGGGCAATTTGTATTAAAGAAAGCCCCGAGCTCGGGTCCAACCATGATACTACTGAAAGAAGTTGCAAATCAGGAAATTGCTTACAACAAAAAACATCCTATATTTACTCGTATATACGTTAATTAAGTTGTCAAAACAAAACAATATAATTTATTCTTTCAGAATGAACTCGGAAAATGAGCAAACATATTTTCAATTATTTTTAACTATTGAACAGAACAGGTGTTTTGGCAATCATTTTTGACCTCAATAATCACAACACATGCGAACATGCTGTTTTAATACTAAAATGAACGATGCTGACATTCAAATATATACTGTACCAAACGCTTGAACAACTTGTAAGATAATTGAATGACCAGATGGCAAACATAATACGACTAATAAAAATGATGTAATTGGTACAATATTGTTATTAAGTTTACAGTTGACAACTGTGTTTTGTAAATTATAGTATAGCCTCATTAACAGGTGAAACTAGGAGATTGGAAAATCATTGCATACTTTTAATGGCTAACACGGAAGATGAAATTTGAAATAAGATAAATTGGATAATATACTTCAACATTTATATAATCCATATGTGGAAAAATTTGAAAAAAAACCATAATAGTACTGGATAAGTCTACATGGGTGTTTTACATAGAGAAGTTGTGGGATTTATTCCGATTTATTATACACCTAATAAATGATATAGCCTTGACAGTACAAGTTAAAGCCTAGGGTACCTACGATCGACTCTCAATTTCAGATGACTCCATCCCTGGATGAGTGCGGTTATCGTTCTATTATTGGTGGTATACTCTGCAATGTCAGAGGCATACAATCAACGGCTTCAGACAACGAGATTGGAAATTGTGCTGGTCACCAGAAGATGTACTATAGTTACTACTCTAAGCCTGGAGCCAACCACACTGAATGAACATGTTAACGATTTCAAATGAACCAACTGTTGGATATATACAAAAACACCAAGCGATACTATTTTGGATGATAACATAAGGAGCTCATAAAGGATGAACGAAAGTCAAATGACACTTATGCCACCCAATAAGGATGACTCCATCCAATTAGAACATGTGGCGTATCTGACAAAAATCGCAGATGGATTTATGCACTACGTTCCCCCGTTTATTTTGGCGTTTGGGACATTCGGTAATCTCTTTGTCATCATAATCATGTTGCAACCGAAAATGCGAAGGAAAAGCTCCAGCATGTACCTTTGTGTATTGGCTATTGCTGACATCATTGTGTTATACACAGGTCTTCTCAGACGTTGGCTGGTCGCCTTCACGCAGTACGACATTCGCACTGCTTCCGATGTCGCATGCAAGTTGTTTATCTACCTCCTGTATGTGTTTAGTCAGTTTGACTCTTGGATACTATGTGCTTTGACTATTGAAAGACTCTTCGCTGTTACCAAACCACTTAAGGTTAAGATAATTTGCTCTCGAGCAAAAGCAGCCACATCTTTGGGGATTCTATTGTTTATATTCCTAGTAGTGAACTGTCACTTCATATGGATGTTCGGGGTAGAATCATCAGACGAGACTAACTTTGAACATAAGGAATGTTATTACATGAAACCGTCTTATGGGGTTTTCTACGATGAGATCTACGTCTGGGTTGATTTTCTTTTAGTTACAGTTCTCCCAAGTTCGATCATCATAATCGGAAACATTATCCTTGTTACCCATATTGTTCATTCCCGTGTTCAAAGACAGTCATTAACGGCCTCTGTATTCACTCGTAACTCAAAACATCGTGTTCCATACCGCCTCACTAACGCTACTATTATGCTCATCGCCGCTAGCGTTGTGTTCGTGGTCACCACCACGCCACTGCTCGTTATGATCATAGGACAGTGGAATGTATTTGGCAGGGCCCCCAAGACAGAATACGAGGGCTGGGTGCATATACTGTGGCAAATTGTCAACTTATTATATTACTCCAATAATGCTTTCAATTTTTCCTTGTATTGTTTAAGTGCACGGTCTTTCAGAAAGGAACTAAAATTGATCCTATGTTATTGCTGTAGGCGTATAAATAAAAAAGATCGAAACACTCCACTGACCCAAAACAGTACAAATGCCAATCATGAAGCAGATACCTCAATTCAGACTGTAACTGATACTGTTATCGCTAATGCCAACGCGGAAAATTTAACTGTGGACGATAATCAAAATATGGAAGATCGTGATCACACTGTACATGACGATACAGCAGTAACACATGCACACTACACTACGGTCGGAGATGCAAGGGACAAACATGTAACAAATGAGACGCCAACAGACAATGTTCCTGACAATGATAGCATAGCACCTGTTAGAAATAACAACATAAACTCTTCAAATAATACAGACTCAGTCCAAACTGTATTTTGCAACCGGGACGCACTTGGTTCAAACATTGACATAATTGAATCAAACTATGACATCATTGATTCAAAATATGACACCGATGTACAAGGGAATTTTAGCTTTGGATCAGATGTTATGATTACTGCAGGACCATATGACGACTGCATCATTCCACCACCGGAAACTTATGGTAACGATGACAACAATGAAATGATTGAAAACGAAAATGTTTTAACGATTGATTTCGACGAGGAATCTATCAGTAGTTTTAAGGAAACACCTGAGTTAGACGATGATGAGACGCCAACTGGCATGGCTATTATAAACAATGAGAGTGAGGAAACACAATTGTAACGATTTAATACCTTGTGTCTTGAATGTGGAAAATAGTAGTTTGCCATTATGTAGAAGGGGATTCGTATTTTAATTGTTTATTTTACAGACATCCACAGGCTTCTTCATTAGTATGTTTTCTTAAATTGAGTCATCTATGTTTTCTGACTCCATCTGTAAATTGTGATTGGTTCTAGTTACGCTACTTTTTCAGAAACACGGTGGTAGTTTGATTTGTATGAATGAATGCGATTTCAAACAACATCGTCAAAAACGTAGTCTGTGCAAGACTTTTTGTATTTAAACCGTATTTACAGTGTATTCACATAAGATTTTTTAGTTTTCCATAATTGTAAATATATATATTTGTAAATACTGTATATACCTGTAACGGAGTGTCTATATTCTCTTTCCTAATCAATTACCCACACTCACTATCCACAGGCATTAACCTGCCGTTGGAATGATTTCATACCCACAATCACTGCTACCCACCTAGTTACACAGACATATCGTCAGTGTATCATGGCGGAACTACTTCCGGGACTAGGTTTCGGTAAGATTTTTTTATTTCCCGATTTACACCTACTTATAAGTCACGTTGTGGATAATAATTTGGCTCGAAGTTAAGGAAGATAGTCTAGTTTGAGAATGTGTCGATGGTTTTAGGTTTTATATGTTAACGAAGATACAATTCACGTATTTAGTCCCTCGCTTTTGTTACACTGACGAACGACCAATATCAGTGTAATATTGGCAATATTAATGCCGATCGTCAGTGTAACAAAAGCGACGGACTAAATATGTGAAATGCGTCTTCGTTAACACACCAAACCTAAAACGATCGACGCATTCTCAAACTAGACTATCTCCCATAACTTCGAGCCAAATTATAATCCACATCGTGACTTATAAGTAGATGTAAATCGAGAAATAAAAATATCTTACCAAATTCAAATCCTGGAAGTAGTTCAGCCATGATACACTGACGATACGTCTGTGTAACTAGGTGGGTAGCAGTGACAATAGAAATCACGAAAATAACTTCTTAGTCTGTATACTCTAATAAGCATATCATGTACAGTATCTATACGAACTTCGAGTTCTCAAGAAATCCGAGTTGTTTTATATTACCGAAATACAATAACGATCAATACATAGAGATATTTTCATCTTTTTTCAAGTCAACTTGCTTCTCCAACTTTTGGATCCTTGATTTCATTCTGCACATTGCGATCGTCTTGATCGTTGCTATGGTTACAACAATCCCGAAAAGTATGACCATTAAGATTTCCATTATCCTCCATTTGCCTGCAAAATACCACAAACAATTAATAGATGAGGTGGATCGTCGGAAATTAATGTGCCACTGTAAATACAACTGGAATTGACTTTAGCAATGGCAATATTTTACAAAAAATTAAACACGAACGAAATGAATTTTGAGAATGATCAGTCTACATCCATGCCGGTGGGAATTGGACAGGTGACCATAATTTGTACAGTTCCAATTAAAAATCTATTAACTTTCTCGCTTGCCTTATTACATATAGCTACCTACACGATCATGATTAGTTGTGCTTGTGAGGTGATTTTGGGCAATCTATAACTTTAAGCTGCATACAATGATGGATTTACAGAATGCTCTGTTTAATAGATGTCGTACTGGTATAACATCCTCCCCCGAATACAGATTTCAACTCCAAACTTAGGAAATGGATGTCCCATACGTGAATCCCGGGACGTGAATGTGTCTGAAGCAGGCACTTTTTCATATTAGTCGACATCAATTAATATAAAGGGAAATGCCACAATCAGAGTAAATATACATGACGAATGCAGAGACCCAACTGTTGCGTGTATGGATATGATCACCTGTAATCTGAGCTTTGGTAATAGAGTCGTCATTAGCATCAGGATCGCCAACCATGGCCTGCGATCTTCCTGGACTCTGGGCAAATGGATTTGGAAATACACGGTTTGCAGAGAGTCCGGGTGATCCGAAGAATGGTATGATACGTCCTGGGGGTCCGGGATAACCTGGCCGCCCTCGTAGCCCTGGAAGGCCATTCCTTCCGGGGGTTCCAGGGGCACCATCCATTCCTTTTCTACCGTCTTCTCCCCGCCTTCCCGGGGGACCTGTGCGAAATTGATATCGGCACTCAACAAACAATATTTTGACAAAATGACTTAATTGACTTAATATAATGCATGAGTTAACATTAGTGTTTGATAATTGTGTAAATGGTTTGTAAAAACGTACTAACCCTGTGGTCCAGCTAACCCCCTTGGACCTTGCGGACCAACCAAACCAGGGAATCCTGGTCCCCCACCTCCTGTGCTATTGCCCGGTGGTCCAGGCAGACCTGGTTCTCCAGGTATACCCGGGGATCCATCAGAACCGGGTTGTCCTTGCGGACCCCCAGTACCAGGCGGACCACCCGTCCCTGGCGGACCCCCAGTACCACCTATAAAAAGTCAAGTGATTTAGAATAAGCGTAAAGAGGAAATAATTGTCGAGATCATCTTCATATTTCCTAGGTTTATCAAATATGCATTGATTCTCTCTCAATCGATACTTTCGAAAGGATGGGCCCTCTCAGATGTCCCTCCAAATAGTTACAGTATGCAAACCATATCTTTCTTCGAAACGATTTTTATGAAAATGTGGATTTCTTTCTTTCTTATCGGTATATTAAGATGAAGATTGTTAAAATTCATCACATTTGTCATCAATTTCCGAAATTAAGGAAAAAATTTAGAAAATTGTAGGTATCGGAAATGAAGTCAATTTATATAGTTCCAGTCTCAGAAGTAGTTTTCTCACCACGTACATGTTATGGATATAAAAAGTCCAAATATGAACCGGCATGATTATAGTCCATCGGGGGAGTGAAATCAATAGTGCATAGTGGGTCGTGAACGCCTCAGTCACATTTGATCTATGCCGGTCGTATGGTGGCCGTACCGTAGCCGAGACTTCACAAAATCGATATAGAAAATCTATATCGTACTGCGTATCCCTATATCTTATGCATGCATATTTTTCTTGATTTTGAGAAGCTACGGCCGCCGTACGATTGCCGTAGATCAAATGTGACTCAGGCGAAATGTATACTAACCTAGGAAAGGTCTCTCGCATATGTAAGCTTTAGTGTCAGTGCCCGGTGTATCATCCCAGAGAAAGTTACTTGCTCCCAACAATTGCATCCTGTCTCCCGAATTATCTGGTTCCAAGGGGGCCCAATTAGTGTATCTGTTAATTTAAAAAGACGAAATGTGAGTTCATAGATAGTAATCATGGGATTCGTAATTTTTGTCTCGTCGATCTGACCGGCAACAATCTCAGCACACTTTATTGGAGGAGATCTATCTAGATAAGGATGCTGCGTCTATGCATGGGAAGACACAACAAACATGTACTAGATAAATAGGAAAAGGAAGCTACCTGATGGAGAGCAGGGTCGTACCATTAAAGAAATATTCTCCAGTGTTGTTCCATTTCCAATCTCCTGCATCATCCGGGTTACCAGCAGTCCATACGTCACTTGTAAATGCTATACAATAAAATATATTCGGAAATCAGTTTTTACAGTGGTACGTTAACGATCGAACTGTTGCACACAAACATATTTTTCACTGTTACATATAAAGTTAAACACTTCTCCATCTACCGTCAGGGTTCATCTGAGCGTTTCATCAAATCGACGGTGGTTTTTCTGCCACCTCCGTGGCAAGAGTCGATATTCGTTTCCCTCTATACTGATAATATATGGTGGCCTATTATCGCATCGAAGTTCGGTTCTCCGTCCGTCTGTCAGTCTACGTTTGTCTGTCCCGAAAATAACTCAGATATTCGCTGGTACAATTTTTTTTTATATTTGGTGGAATATATTGGTTAGTACTTTTACGTAGAGAATAGTAACTTGGATGGTTAAAAGTAGATCATTGGATCATTTTTATCCATGATTTGGAAAATCCAAAAATGCAATAACTGAGACAAGGCTTTAAAAGTATGGCTTTATCATACTAAATCGAAGGTAGTTGCAGTTTTCTACGATTAACATTGTTTTTATCTTTCATTTTTATTTCAGGTAACTTGATATCAAATCATTTACTCATCAAGCTTTGACGTTGCTGTAAGCAAATGGTCCAAAGTGGTGCGATTACCTTTTGATTGCAACCATTGTGCGACGTTGTCATCTTCCTCTGCCGTTTCTATGGCAACAAGATGAGAGTAGATGGTGTTGCAGGTGTCCCTAGCCTCTTCCCAAACCAATGTATCGGTAAACAAGCGATAACAATACGTTTGAGTCCCAGAGGTACGTACCGCCTCAAACCCGTTCCCCGAACCACAACCTGAAAACGACATTCAAATGATTATACTCACACTCTCACTTGATAGTAAGTATATCTATTGCAATGAAACAATTGCAAATAATAACATTTGACGGAAGTAATGTACCTTTGAAAAATTGAACAATTCATGCAAGGAGCAAGGTTGTATTGCAAACGATATAATAATGTTCATATAAATAGAAAGAGAAATCTAAAACTGTCGATGAAGGTTAAGCCCTGGACTCAGTGCAATGCGTGTTGAATCATTCCATTGAAGGTGTTGTTTCCAAATATTTGCATGACCGCGCAGCGGGGATGTAAAGTTTAGGAAATAACGCCGGAGCGGAATAAAGCAGCCACAATGTATTGAGTCTTGGGCTTAAAGTTTTTTCACACGTTGCAAAATATTTTTTACAAAGTCACCTAAAGGAAACAAAATCACATATCAAGAACATATTTTCAATGACAATTTTTGCATGGTTCAAGTTTGCAAAGCATCAATTTCAATCTGTGAGGCCAATTATCACTTTGACAACCAAACAACAAATGCGTTATTGGTTAGATAACGGAATGCAGTTACGTGAAACAGCGTGTTCTGATTGGCTGGAAGTGGACACCGTGCCTAGGCTATGTGGGAATGATTAAATTAAATGTATTTTAGGGTTTCAACTAACCAACTGCTCCATGGAGCACACAGCCTGCGATCAAAATGACAATCCTGAACCACAAAGTCGGCATTCTGGTCACTCCTAGAAAATCAAGTCAAACCAATTAAAATCATGAAATTATAATAAAACCAAGAAAGAAACTTTTTAAACATTCTCCATCGATTCAATCTTAACTATTTTCTCATTTAATTTTGATTAATAATTATGCATTTTAATGAATGAATTGTTTTATTCAGATCATTATTTCATTTCCTATTGTATGTATACTATAACATATGTTTTTAGTAATTGTTATTGTACGAAACTTCGTAAAGCTAAGGATTCATAAAACACATTTTCTCTTTCGGTCTGTCATTTTATCCATGGTTACAACAACTGATTTAGGAATTCTTACTTTTGCGAGATTTCTATTAATGCCGTACTTACGTCATATTATCAAGGTATCGCTGACTGGCTACCACTAAATACACCCAAGGTAACAATTTTCTATTAAAATATTTTTAAATTCACTTACCGATGCTGAACGTTGAATCTCAAATTCTAACTTCAAGTGTCAATCATTAATATTTACGGTTCATAATTCTTCAAGAGAACCTTATATTCCAGCATTGACGGCCTTCCATAAACTACAACGTGACGTGATACCGCCTCTTGTACCATGTAGATATGCACGCGACCGCAGTTTCCCCTGGAGTTTTACGACAGAAAGGCGGAGGAATGCGAGACCATATATTAGAGTTGACAATTGTTTAATTGAACTTGATTTTTGGCAATTAGACAAAGCAATTACTAAGGTGATACACTCTTTTGATATTTTATTTTTGATGATAGTCAGAATTGTGATTGTTGTTAAATGAGGTCATATGATGCCAAAACAATTACCTTCACCTTAAATTCAATACCCAAAGAACATAATAAACAAATAGTTTAAACTGCCTACTGACAATGTACATTTGGCATGTCTTTACATTGAACACTGAATATGGGGGTTCGATGGATGCGATCGCACAACCCTTCCCCCACCCCCACAAAAAAAGAAAAAAGCAATTTTGTAAAATATGTTGAAAAGGCATTAACAAATTATAGTTTAAAATACTCAGAATGCACCATATACACTATGTAACTTTTAAACCATTCCGGTAGTGAACCCCCGTACCCCCTTTTTAGGGCTTTCTTTCCTCGCAGTGATGTTAACCAAAAAACTCGCACTGATCTCCCTTGACATTGCTGGAAAAGGCCCTGGTAGAGGTGTAGGATTATAATCTGGGATCTAAAAGTTAGCGAGAAAAAAACTTTCTGGATTTTACTTCCTAAAATATAGTCCACCGATTGGTTTGATTTTTATGAAGTTTCTTGGTAGGAAAACTTAGAACTAATTAGATAAGTTTTCACCATGTAATCTTATCCATAATTTTGGATTAGATAACATGTTACATGAATTGATGTCCCACTCAAGGGAGCGATATTGTTCGCACTGTGACTTAATTTAATGCAGAGTTATTTTTCATGTATTGGAATTTCATTGGAAGAGTATTCTAGCCATATTTCCTAGCGGGCATTTGCGTGTCACAGGGTCATGACACATGGCACAAAATTAACATCAGTCTCCAAAATTTTAATTAAGTTGAGCAAAATAGGATGTTTGGTTAAAATTGATAAATGTGTTCTATGTATACGTCGAGAGATAAAAGCCTAACGATATGATTCAAGAAAATATAAAATACAATAAAAAATAATACTTTACACTAAAATACAATTTCAATGCAATACAATTACAATTACAATACAATATGTGCAAAACGTGGCATCTATTGATTCAGTTTTATATTTTCTTGAATGTATTTGGATTATAAACTTGCGTATCCACATTTCAGGATTTGAATAAATATGGTAAACATATTTATGAATGTTTTAAATTCAATCATGCATTTTAAAGTAAATGTGTTTTGCATAAGGAAATGGATAAATTTTATGAATAACTTAACCATATGGTATCTTTCAATACTTCTATGTCCAAGTTATTCGTGATGTTTCGTGTTATATTTATCAGCCTCATATTAATTAACAAATTGTAATGAAGTCTGTCTATCCATCATTAAATTGATCACATTTATCTGGTCATAACTCCATCAAATGTATCCATAACTCCGGGAACTCAACACTTAGAGTTCATTTAAATGATATCTATCTCTACTGTTGAATGATGGATGCAATAAATTATGCAGTGAATCTTGAGTTGCGGGAATGGTTAAATAACTTAGACGTTAAGTTTTTGTTGCCTATGACGTACATAAACTTTGCTAAACGTTGAACAAATATTCGTATTGTCAGCAATTCAACAATTAATGCAGAAATTCAAAACAGCTCAAAATCAAAACCATATTTTTAGGTTAGAAAGTAGTGGCTTTGGTATTTCTTAATCTAATGGCAATTACTACTGGTTTTTAGTTATCCTTGCTTATCTTTTATGATGACTTGACTTTAGAATTGAATAAATCACAAATTGTGACCTTTGCAGTTATATCAAAATGATTCCTCTACATTTATCTAAGAATACATTGATTTTCACATGATACCAACGCACATTAGACGACGCACATTTTAAATTGAAATAATTTTTGTTTCTGATATTTTTTGATTTTCACATTTTATTCTACTTTGAATAGAAATGATGATGAGAATTGACTATGCTATAAAGACCTAATTAGAACCAGAAGATTAGTCTGCTATTTACACAAGCATTTTAAATGGCAGTCTTAAAGTTTAGAATTTCAAACTTTTGACAGTTTTCATGCCTGATAAATTATCTGTTTTGTAATAAAACCTCAATAAAGCTGGCTCAGTTATTCAAGATGGACGATTCTAGTGAAACAGTCCTTCGAGTAGGTCTACGCTTTCAAATGTCCTTACTTTAACACACGTTTCGAATTAAGAGGTAATTTTTAGCAGAACTAAAAATCAAAATCTATTTTCTCAATTTAAACGATGTTTATTTATAGACAAAAAATCCTAACCAAAAACGTATTTTCAACTACTAAAATCTAAGAGTGTTTACATGTTACATTTCCAGTGTTATGAAGCTGGTATTGTATTGAATTGTGTTGTATTATGCGTTTTACATTTCATTGTATTTATTGTAATGAGACTATTCAATACTATATTGTATAATTTAAATGAGCACACTATTTCCCAATTCGATTTGACATAAAATTTACAATATAATATGATAATACTTACAAAACAATATAATACAATGCAATCCATTTCTTACAATACGCAAGGATAGCATTACAATGCAATGCAATACGATAACACAAAAACAAATCAATACGATTCTTCACAATACGATACGATTTAATAAAACAATACAATACAATGCAATTATAAATTACAATCTGAGACTAACATAAAATGTTAGTCTCAGATTACAATTCATTACAATATCAATATAACATGAACCATGAACAGTCCGACATGATTAAGAATACCATGCAATACAATTAATACTGTCAAGAAAATACAAATTACAATACAACAAGATACATTCAGTTCAATACAATATAATGTGGTACAATATGAGAGGATTATCTCTTTTACACTTTAACTCGACGACATCAGTTCTTAAAGACACAATGGCAAGTTTGACATGATGATGTATTTCACACTAAAACTTTAAACTATAATCATTTTCAACCAAGCTAGACTAAGTGAAAGTAAATCAAAAACTTCTGCGAAAATCTTTTCAAGTTCTAAGTTGCTTGTCTTAGGATCCTAATTTGTTAATTAGAGATCAGTCAACGTCCTAATGAACTATTTGTCACAATTCTGGCAGTCCATGTCGTCCTCAATGCTGTCTGTCTTTGAGCGTTCACTGGGGTTGTCGTTAATCAGTACATTCTCATCCTTATGACACCACCCTGTGCGGAAAATATCTCCCCTGTCGATTGTGTTACAATTGCATTTCTCTGTCAATGATTGGGCAACGTCTTTATTACTTGATTTGCATACTTTGGTACGTTTTGGCTTATTAGTTTTTTATTCTATCTTAATATTCCGGCTCTATGTTACATGAAAAGTACGGATGGTATGGTGTCTTATCTACGGGTGAAGTTTTTTTGCGTTCTCAGATATCCATCTTGAGCTACTGATGAGGAACGTGAGGATAATGTGTACTGGAGAACTGTCGTTTCGTCTCTGAATCCGATGGCCTTTTATATCCCAATCGGGTAACCGTACAGGGCTCCGGTAGCATTTGACAATCCTTACAATAATGTTAAAGAGAACTACCTATTAGAAAATATAAACCACTGACTAGTCAAAAATACCTTTGGTAATGCAAGGAAACATGGGAAATATTTTTACTTATATTTTGATGCTTTCTTTCATCTTGATTGACAACTTTCATGTACTATTTACGATCCTGAAATAAAACGGCGTTCTTTCATACTCAGAAGTACCTTTCAATTCTGGCACAAACCATCAACAAACTCTACATGTATAGCGCGTATAGAAATGATACTGTAAACTCATTTTTTCTCTTTTTAAATTATTTGAGTTTAATGAGCAGAGAAAATAACACTTTAACATAAAATACATTTTTAAGATACATTTGCGATATTTTTTCCATTGCATACCATTTTTTCGAAAAATGTCCGGGAATTTTTACAAGCCTATAATTCTAGGTCTCAAAAACGCTTAAAAGTGCACGTTTCAATTTCATCTATTAAACTCTAATTTGAAAATTATCACAGAGAAACTAATATTTTACACTTGACGAGTTGGGCAAAAATAACTTCTGACTTGCAGTGACCCAATAACTCACTATCTAAACAACTCGCTTTATATTTCAAAGGCTTTTGGGTCTTCTCGCATTCCATCCATTCTAAAATCATTTTTCAAAGAAGGGATTTTTTCATCCAAAACGAGTTCAAAGAGTCTAATTGGAACTTTAATGCGTTTAAAATAAGTCTGACATTTCTCTTCTAACAGTTTCCATTTATTATAAAGCATATGTAAGGAAATCACTACTATTATATTTCAACTCAAGGTAAGGAATGTATTGTATCCTACTGAACATTTTTTTCAATTTTGTGATTGTTCTCGAGTCAATTATACGTGAGAATAATGAAAAATATAAGAAAATAAGTAAACAAGTAAACTGATGAATTGAAATGAAAATTTTAATTGACTTTAATACAGTTATAACGCTTATAATTAAAGTTTAACAATTACATGCACTTACATATAATATGCTTCTTATAAAAGTTAAAATATGATAAAGACACACATGGCGTCTAGGCCTCATACTAGAGTACATTTTAACACTTGTGGCACCATTTGTGTTCAAATCCGCAATCCTCACCGGCACGTGTTAAGACATTGTAGGTAATAAAATACGCCGAAGATTGGAATTTTTTAAACACGAACTATTTTTGCATGAAATGGTTTTAAATTATTAAAGAAATTGGATTCTATAGCCACAGGTAGGCAGCGCTCCATCAAACCGCCTCATTGGGTAGCGTAATAATGTGCGGCACAGATGTAACCATTCATAAGCCTGTTTCTTTCTAACCTGTCTTTTAACATTCTTTTCCACCAAATTAGTTAAAATTGAAAAAACGAAAAGATGCGACAGTGAGATAGTCACAGATGTTAAGAGAGAGAGGTATGACAGGTTTTACGTACTCAACGATGTGGATTAGAAACTCAAATTAAATCAAACAGCACACCAATGAACTACAGAGTCATTTTTCAAAATATGGTCTCCCAAAATTGTTAATTGGTCAACGTTGAAGCTGATGATGTATCAATAACCAACTGATGAGCAAACCACAGGCGTTTATTAATCAATGATGACATCGTTGTCAAGGTAACCACCATCGTCATAATAGACAGTATCAATCAAATATCAAACTGGAACCTCCAGCACAAGTTTAGCGTATACAATGCTAGGTTTTAGCATCATTAATGAATTGTAGAAATTGTGATGCCTACAGTTGAGAACGTACTTTCATGGAACACATTGGGTATGACAATAATATATTGAGTTGGACCAAGATTTGGTGAGATTTGTTTAAAACAAAATATCTTTGATTAAGCCATATAGACGACGATTTATAAGAATATCACACTTATGGACGCATAGAGCTGCGCAATAAATGATGACGTAATCAAACGCTTCATACATGTACGTAATACGGAAATAATAAATATGCTATAAGTGAGTTGCGAAATCGCTAGATAGTCTTTTGCCAAACATCTTTTCCATTTTGACCAACGTGTGTCGAGAAATCAGTAGTTGAAATAACCTTACGGAGTGAATCAAAAAGTACAACGCAAAAATGTACAGCAAAAACAAAGAATATCAAATTTTCTTGGCACGAGCCAAAACTATGCCGAATTCATACCTTTTAAATTGCAACGCAGTTTTAGGAAGTCCAAGAATTAATTCTGGTTGAAACAGGTGTACAATATACAAAAAGATAAAGAACATTAAATACATATTCCCGAGTTCTTTCATCTGTTGGCCCATTTCAATTAAAAGAAGAATGCTTGTTTTTCTCGCAGTGACACTGAAATGTACAACAAACGTGAAAGATTGTGCCACGTGAGCTAACCGACTAAAACAGAGCATTCCCCATCGGGAAAACATTATCGGCCGTTACGTTTATATAATTACCTGTACCAGAGGAATATATAATCAATATTTTAGTTAAATACAAATTAATGGAATCATATATTGATATCATAATCAGATGAAAATGCATTTGATTGAAAGGCTATGTGCATTTCATTTATTTTCAGCAAAGATATGTTAATATCTTAACAGTGAGGTGGCGTTTCTGCACAGGGGGGATATATACAGGTGAAGAGCGAAGATGAAATAACAATAACCCTCTAAGATGTTGAATTTAGCCGAAGGTAGACCAACTGCATATGTTGATGTTTGGCAACAATCGTCTGCAATTGATCAGCGCGCTGATCCTGACGTCTTTAAGTGAAGAGATATGAGAATATGCGTTTCGATGTATACTCGTATATTTATATTTCCCTCTATTTTCTGTTTTTGGGATTTCTGAAATGATTGTTTTATGGTTGTTTAGCTGCATTATATAATATTGACTTTTCCGGTTCATTAGACTTTTACAATGTTTAAATATTTTCCTAAAACTATAGCTCATGCCGAGGATTCTTAAAAGTAAGATGATGTAAAATAGTAATATATTTTAAATACTATATTAGTATATCTTTTTCGATTTGGTCTATGGATGTCGGTCAAATATTCAAAGGAGCCAAAACTACCAGAATCAATATATACACAACTTATATTGTAACATGTCAACAGTGTTCGATACTAGTTTTACTTTTTGTCATAAAATGTTTTTCAGTTATTTACAGTTTCATGACATACATTTATCTGCATAACAAACAATTTATATTGAAAATCCAATTGCCATATAGATCTGAGTCCGACTTTGAGCGTCGGCGCTATCTAAATTTAATTACAAAAACGATACACTAAATACAAATACAATCAATTTATGATACCAAACTGATAGAATTCAATGACATGTAAGTAGTAGCTAAAATTGGATTACCAACTCTCGTGCTTCACATATGTAAGACGGAGGGGCACATACTCGCAGATGCATGGAGTATGAAGTAGCACGTTGAGAATAGAGTCTAAAGAATTTTCCCGAATAATGATGAGTAACTAAGAAAGCAATTGCTCAAATATAGAACATGACAAGTCATTATAGGATGTTGTTTCAGTGATCATCCAATAAGATAAAACCTCTTCTTATTAGAAAACACTAATTTGCCCAGCATTCCTTCCACGATAAAAAATACAACTATCTGTTTGTGATTTTTAGTGGAACGATGATGTTACTTTACCGTTAGTGTTAATTGTATTTGAGGGGGTCTGTGTAAGGGGATACATGGCGGGTTATGGGTACCCTCGATGTGATCAACTATCCCATGGGGATAAAAGAAAAACAGTCGTGGCTGCCCCAGTGTGAGTTGAAACCTCCCCGACGATTGAGTCCAAAACAAGACAATCACGCAGAGAACCCAGTCGGTTTCTAGCTAACCTAGCTTGATATATGACCCGATGACAAGCTACCTTTTTGATATATTGTTTCCTTTCTGGGGTTTCACAATTGACCCCTGACTTCATTAGCTCGGGTAAGGCTCGTCCCAGACTTTGGTTTCAATGGATGGAGGGTATCTATTACAAGGCTTAAGTCATCAATCTGTCTCTCTAATGTGCTTTATGACGGTTCCGACGCTTTATACCTTCATAATTTAACTTTTAGGAGCATTAACTTCTTCTACACGTGTTTCCTTTGCATGTTTATCCACAAGTAAAACTACTATTGGTCATAAAAACGAATAGAGTATGACATCTAAAAATTATGAACGTATTACCGATATAATTCCGACTTATTTTAGAATACATTCCTGGAAAATTAATGACGGTTATCATGGCAACGGAATCATAAGAAAACAACTCAAAATACCTATGAGCCATCATAAAGACAAATTATTGTTCAAGTTACAAAATAACGACTGGAATAAAGAGAAGCTGAAGTTAAAAGAACGTTTGATGCAGTTTCTAGGATTAACTTTTCACCTAGAGTCAGGAAGTGGGGGAAAGATAAGTGAACCTTTCGGAAGATGTAAAGATATACATCACCCCATCCAAGATATATTATGACATTAAAGAAGATATTTAACTCCTGAAAAATGCTTGAATAAACAAAGGTTTCCCCAAATTACCATTCGAAGCTATTTTTCAATTTTTTACAAAAACGTTATTCTCTTAGTTCAGAAATAATGATGGAACTAAGTTTCGACATTTTTAGGTTCATAATTCATATTCAATGGGCTTCATTATCAATCATGCATTTTTAACTACTGTAGAAGGTATGTTAATTTGTACTTTGAACATCAATCTTGTGTGGTCCATTTTCTTGCGAGACAAGAAAGAAATATTTATCCTTAATCTGTCATTGCACAAAATTTGTCCAATATTTCACTGCGCATGCGCAGAACCATTACTTCCGGTTTTCCAAAGCCTATGGGATTTATAATGGAGACATTTTTCGAACGCTTACTGTGCGAATGATATTGATTTGCCACCTTAGTCATCTCAGGTTTCTATAACTAGACATCAACCTTTACTGATTTAACATGTTTTAAGCAATGTACACATGCACACTTTTCGGCCAATTTGTTTTGAAAAAATCATGAGGAATTCATGCATGACTCCATTGAAATCCATTAGAAATGGCGTCAAAATGGTGAAATGAGGATATTCAACGGTCTGGTAGAGGTACTTAAAATCACATGGTATCTTAGTCATCTCAGGTTTCTGTAACTTTGAAGGTAGATCTGTTTGATTCCGTTGAGATTAGAATCCTCATACCTTTAACTTTTCGGCCAATTTCAAACAAAATATGATAACTTTTGGTGATATAACTGGTTCATTACATTGGAATGACGTCAAAATAAAATAAGACAATCTCAGTTTCTATGGCACTGACGTCATGACGTCAGATTTATCTTAAGATCTCAAATATGACGTCATGTTTAATCAATGAATGACATCTATCGGCTATTCGACCAATTCTGTGCAATGGTTCTTTTGAAAGTAAACAATCTAGTGTTTATCCACAAAAAAACGAATAACAAAGCCTACTCTTTTCTAATTACACAAGTCTATTTTTCAAATGATTCACATCAACAAATTATACAGGCACACTGGATGAATATTGAACGATGTGAAACAATAATGTTATTTACAATGCACGAAATGCTCATGTTTAACATAGGGTCTTCACAGTTTTTTCAGGTTACTGACGCAATATTGTGAACATACTTTTACATACAATTAGATATTCTCATATATTAAATTTACACTATCTGCATAGATATGTCAGGCACTGTATTTACACGCACATGTATACACCAGCTTTGATGAGTCTTGAATTTTGATCCCTTGAAAATAGTCCTACATAATAAGACGCAGACGACATCTCCGCATTCTCCCTGCAGCGTCGTGACGTCACAGAACACAAGACTGGTCTCCCGTAATGGAAGTGAAGGGCTACGATGGGAGGAGAATACATTGTCAGTTTATCTGCCCTATAAGGGTCTTTCAGCAGTGGTTAAAGAACTTAGCATTGTACTTGTACTGGTTGGACTAATACTTTCAACTATAAGTGACAAACAGTCCAAACTTGATCCATTGTCAGCTTGGTTGTTATTTGTAGCTTGATTTGTTTGAAATCCTGAAAGTAGACAAAGTTTATCAAATTTAGTTAATGCAACTCCATTTCAAGCAAGTGATACACTGATTTCGACTGTAGGTATTTGAATGATTCAATGCATTATAAAAATTAACAATTTCATCTAACAACTGCATTTATTATCAATAAATAAGGTAATTGCAAGTAACTTGTTAGAGATCATCAAAAATTATAAGTTTTTCGACAAGATCTTAATATCTTAGTATATATTGATGACATAAACATAACTTCATTGTTTTAACTAGTGTTTTTCAAACATAGGTTGGCTGTGGTTGTTCAGTTTTTTACGTGAATATAGAGATAGTTTAACTGACCTCATGCTTTGAACTAGTTCAACAGTTGTTGGAATTGTATCAAGTTAAATTGTGCTTTACACTGGATCTTGTCTTGAATATGAACTAGTATGAGCGTGAAATTAAAGCAAGCCTGGTGTTCGACTTAACATTATTTGAACATCACTTGGACACGCTGGTATTTATTTTGGGGTCTCGATGTCTACGTGTTCTGAGCAAAACCATGTTATAACCATTAACACAACAACTAATTTCCCCAGTTTAGATGAGGAACAAGCAAAACACGACTTGGTTTAATAGTTGTATTGGCTTTGATGGGAAGTGGCTACCTTTTTACACTGGATACGAATTAACTTGTTTATACTAATGTATTGTAAACAGAAAACTCTCCATTATAACACTATCTGTTTGCACCAGTATTTTTAATGTTTGAGTTGAGATCAGGAAACCAGCAGAATTTCAATTAGAGGTGATCCATTGAGTGTCAATCAACAGGATGGATTACCCATCATTGGTCATTTTTATCGTCGGATTATAAGTCGGTTAATTCACGAATACACAACTACAGAACTTATCTTCGCATGACCGACGAGAGCCGAAGATGTACAGAACAACAGTTCTCTTAATATTTTTCAGTCTGTCTACATTGTTCATTTTTTGATTAGAATACACAGTAAATTTTGTTTTGAGAGTCGTATTGTTTTACTTATTCAAAAGATGCTTAATATAATTTCGTACTATTCATTATACTTCATCCTTCATATTGCCCCGACCACATTGGCTTCTTACAGCGAGCAAAGCCTCAGCATGCCATTGGTCACATCATATTTTATTTGGGAAGTTCCCATGTAATACAGTGTAACGCGGCCATATCAGCACCACTAATTATCTCTAATCACCGCCCCACGTACTATCAAAAGTCAATTACTATCACATTATCATCGTGTCATCCTTAATGTTCTTAACATCTGACCAGAATCAAATCAATTAAAATATCTGATAAAACCTCAATTGTAATATAAACTACCAGAGCTTCTCAGCAAGTTTAATTCACAGTTCTCCCAAAAGAGGGACCATACATTATTTTAAATCGCCAATCGTCTGGATGCATTGTTATTGCCAATACAGAAATTACAGTGTAGTCATGGTCAAAAGTCTGAAAATGGCATAGCAGGCAGAGAGCTAACGTAAACCATTGCATTTCAAAACTTTATAAAACGCTCAAAATCGCAATTGTATATTTTGTAATTGTATATATGTTTTCGGGTATGGGTATGAAACTGTTTATTTCCTGGCCCGTAAAAGACTTACAGAGCAAAACATATTTGCAGTCCTTCTAATAAACACGAATACGCGATCTTTATTCGGGATTAAAAAACTTGGCATCAAAGTCACGTGAATTCTTAACCCAGGGAGAATGAATTTGTAGTTGGCACTTGAACTATTGGTGCTTCATAAGTTAAGTTCGGGTTAAGTGTTGATGGTTCCAGCATTACCGATTATTGCATTTTAAGAGATGATGTTATCAAGCCTTTGAGAGATATCATCTAGCAAATGTTGCCTTGTTGAGATGAAGTAAATTGTTGAAGAATTTCTAGCGTGAGTAACAAAAAACGCTTAAGTTATGAAACGCCCTACCATTGATTATTATAGATGGGCTAAAGTATTCCAACCCTATATTGAAGAACAAATAAAATAGTTCGAAAATGTGGGAAATTGATTAAAAATTGATGTTCGCTTTATTATTGATAAATCAGAGTATCCAGACATACTCTGTAGTACTCTGGAAGCGTATTCCCAGTTTCAAATGGATTTTTGTGTTACCCACTCTCTAAGTATTTAGTTTCGATGTCAAAACGCAATATTTGATTTGTGTATCTAATACAAAGACAGATACACTGGTATGTATTGTTCTTACATGATAGGCTATCAGAGATGAAAGGGGCTAAAATAGCAAGAGATGATCTAGAAGGGAATGCTCGGATACGGTGTCCTCCCTGGAGGACCTCGCTTACATAATGCTGCTACAAGTATACTCCACGTTATGGTAGAAAGGTATGTGTGGTGGCTACATGATAGTGTTGCATATAAGTCACCATTACATAGACTAGATCTAAGATTAGATTCCAGTTTCAGCAAACCAGAATTTATACCCAGGAAATACAGAAAGGGAAGGTTTTGCAGGCTATTGAAAAATAATTCTCGAATATATTTATCATATATCGATGTTTTGAGGTTTGCGTTCATATTGTTTATTGAATGATCTTTTTTTCATACTGTTTCCAGTTCCACTTTTCTTGTTAGATTCAAATGATTAAATACAGTAGAACATTAATGTCAGAATTTTTTGTAGACAATATTTCTAATAGACAAATGAATAATATTTTGCAAAAAGTAAAAAAAAAGTTAAAAAGTATACACATTTGAACGGCATCGTGAAAGAGCCTTTCGAGATGCATCAGAATATGCAAATACCAATCTTACAACATTTTATTAGAAAATAAACTGCAAATATTACAGCATTGTAATTCAACCTGTCATCGAATTTACTGTTTCCTTAAAAACGAATATTTATGTACTTCCGGTTTTCTTATCTAAGTTAGTAAGTAGCTGTTAGAGTGTAAATAAACAATTTGAAAAGGATAGCTACTGAGGAAAACTGATGAGCTGCTATTCCTTGTATACATCGCTAATTGATAGGATCGAGTTTGATAGTTCCCAACATTCTTAGAAAAAGAATCTATAGCGTTAATTGGAGGTATCTTAGTTAGAAAAGTGGCCCGCTAATTTGTTAACCCCTTTCCAGAATGAGCTCGTTAGACAAGGGAACTCTAATAGTATCTTGCTCATCGGGTGATAGGAATCCCCCGGGAGCATCCACAGTCACGCTGGATAACATTCAAAGACAAACACAAAGCATCCTATTCTGCTGCTACCTCCTCAAAGCGCTAATTTCCACAGTAGTTTAAATCTGGTAGAAATTAGTGTTTTCTAAACAAACTGGTGGGTCTATAATGAATGTATGGCGGGAGAATCGATGCCACAGGTACCGATTTAATAAGCTACACGTTGTTTTAACGTCCTATCAAGTCAGATTGGGTATTTTACATTAAACTACTCTGGTTTTTAGCTGGTTTTAGTAGCTACCAGATGTGTATTAGTGAACTAACAGACGTACCCTCCCAGTTAAAGATAACCGACTAATGACACTATGTTACCGCTCGCTGCTACCACGATTTAAGAAAACATGTTGAAATGTAAAGCATTAAAGCTGTTTTTACATCATCAATATACTGATGGAGAAAATTAATGAATAGCATCGTTGTCTAGGTACTGACGTCATATTTCATGATCTTAAATACCAACAGAAGAGCAAAACCATTTGCCCAACATTCTATTGTAATAGTTTTTATAAAGTCTAATTTTACCAAAATAATAGCACTCGATTCTTGTTTTTTGTTGATTAAGTTTGATTATAAAAGTCAATTGTTCAAGAGATTATCAGATGACAGAAACGTAACACATTGAATGATAATTATTAAGTCATTTCAATTAAGTCGACAAAAGAAATTAATTATGGCATTTCAATTGTGTTAGCAACAAAACATGAGAAAAGCCATTTTCTGATTCTGTCATGAAAACATGAAACGATTTATTTTCTGAACACGTGGACAAATTGAAACATGAAAAATCACTCTTCAACAATTATGACTCAAAATTTATAACAATAGACAATTTATTTTAAAACTAATTAAATATGGTAAATCAAACTTGATAATTGGGAGTATGAAATGTGATTTGATTCACGTAAATTAACTTTAAATCTCTACTTACCATTATTGTGATTAAATGTATTGTTCGGATCTCCAAAATGGTGAAGTTTTTCTGTGTAATACTGTGGACTGTTCATAGCCTGAAAATATACAAGAACAATCACTCAATCAATTTACTACATTTCTATACATAAACAATAAGAAGCACAAAAAGTAAAAACATATGAATTATCAATTCATCCATTATACTAATAACATATATATTAACTAATATCGTACATCATAATTTTGACGCTAGAATAAAAATAAATCTATCACTTCTCAAAACTAAGTTTATTGCGCTTAAGTTACCAGTAGTAACAGAATTAATAGGTCGATGTATTTTAAATAAACATCGACTGAGTTATGGTTAAGATTAAGGGCCCAGCACGAAACCACATCGATAGTCCACGTCAAAATATCTGAACTGATCTGTAAATGCCCCCTTCGTTTTTTAAGCTCCGTGGTAAGATCAAATTCAAAATAATATCAGCAGCATACAAATTGAGTTTAAAATTACCCTCACTGGTCATTTTTAAATTATGTCATATTTATCTCTTATTATAACAATTCAAAGCCATATTTTGAATTATTACATTTGATCATCACGTTTAATTTCACGAAATTATTGTTGAACTTTAAAACATCTACTGCTTGAGTTTAAGATATTAAGCTCAACGGATCAAGTGCAAATCAATTTAGAAAAAACGATTCATTTTAGGTTGCAGTGGAATTGGTTTTTATCGAGACGTATCTTGAATCGACTGGGTTGATGTACAGATCTCTCTTACGACCACTGGGAAATGATGCAGAGCGATGACATGCAGAATATCATCATTTACCTGGCATATTTTACCTGCCGTCAAACACGGACCGGGGTTCCGATGTGGCCATGCGCTCGCTGTTTCATACGGGACTATTAAATTAAACCAACGAAATATGCTATGTACGAAATTCGGGATATTTAGAACACGGAGGGTTGCACCCTTCAGTAAATTACAAACTGTTTCAGGTAATGTGGTCTAATATCTGAATTGATAACTCGTGAAAATGTAGATTAATAATGTTTGATTTAACCCGTGATGTTATACACGTTTCTGATTTTCAATTTATTCCACATTCGTCTGGGAATTTTAGGTTGAAATAGTCTGTGTTCAGAATATAATTTAGTATCAAATTGGGATCGGCCTGAATTGGAGTTGGGTTAATAATGCTGCTCAATATGCTCCAATTGAAGCACCTTAAACACGTTATATATATTTCTTTATTATTGAGCCTCCCTTTTACTTACTGAGAAAGAAACCGCATTTTACCAACTACTTCCCGAGTTTCTCCATCATTTAGGCAACGAGCCTAATGGACGTCTATTCAATTATTATTTTAATTTGGAAACTTTATCTAACCTCGATATAATTTCTGCTGTCAGACTAAAATTCATGCTTAAATATAATTCGGGACTTTACGTTTAGAGCATTATTCCCATACCTTACAGCTTATTTTAAGAAATCAGAGATTAATCGATTTTTGTTAATTAATAAAATACATGTTCACACCTTGGGTATCTCACATTAGGCTTGATTAGACGCACAAAGGTATGTACAGACAGAGAAGAACGCAGTAATTTCATCAAAATCGGACCCAATTTTGAAGGTTTGAGTTCTGACAATAATTTCAACATTTTGGGATTATGAGTTGTTGTGGTGTCTGGATTAGTAGTTTACTACCCCTGGTCAGTTAACTATCAGGGAATCGCAATTTAAAGCGATTTTAATCTAATTAAAAGCACATATTTCCCATACCATCGTCTTGTTCATCAGTAAGTGGACGTGGTTTCATGGAGGAAGGAAAACACAATATCTCAGCTAAAATTCCTCAATTTAGGAAATGTAATATACCTATACGCGCTAACTTTTTAACGTGTGAAATATTCTTATCTCCGCGTTGGAGAGTTCAGTTTCGTGGTACAACTTTCTCAACATCCGGGCACTTCCCCATTGGAATAACATTGGCTGTGTTTTTCAATGACGCATTGTGATTTTATTAGAGGTTTATCATGAATTCTATTTGCACATACGATAGATATGATCATTATAAAGACATTTGACAAGTTTTTTTTAAATATATTCACCAGAATCGTCAAAATCCTAAGTTTAAAATTCAAGTGACGTCACAGATTTCCCGGGAGTTGCTCAGTTCCCGAAACTTGCTCCGACGCCATAGAAAAAATAATCGAAGCAAATTGAATTTCCATCTTCTTTTCTAATTTTTGTCTGGATTATAGAATATTATTATACAAATGTACTAATGTTGGTTCGGGATAATGCCTATGACGTTGTGTTTTGCGGACCAATAGAAAATTGTCCATTTTATCGTGTTGCATTGCGGGAAATATTTATGTTAATGACCAGTAATTTCCTAACGTGAATAGGACTATTGGTTAACATATTTGCATGTGACTTGACCAGGGCGTGTGGGTAGATCCTCTCTTGTTCTTTAGACAGGATAGAGGTGATGCCGAACAAATAGGTAGATTTATGATCGAACTATAAAATACTGAATATACAAAATATCGAGAGCAAAATATGCAAGTAGATGTTTTGAGAATGAAATGATTTAAACGACAAAATAGAATTAGGGGTCATTCGAGAAAAAAACTGAGTAAAAACAAATATTGTTAACGGTTGATTAAAATAGATATTACGGCCTATTTATTTGTTTCTAATTTTTATGGGGTTTCTGGCTTTAATTTTTGGGTTTATTTGTTTCTGATACCACAACAAATGAATCCTAGCTATCGTTTTTGAGTTTTCTCGGGTTGCCAGCCACACTTGCGCAAGAGTCTGATTTGCATTTGCACCTTTTTCCATATCAAGATGATTTCATGAATCCAACTGCTTCTCACACATGTTCTATGATACTGGGATGTATTTCTTTAGCTAAGTGGCTCTATACTCTGACACTTTCTCTGACATAGCCTCCCATAGCGATATGGTAAAGTAAGCTTACATTTATAACAGTTTAAAACTATCAAAATATTTTGATGGGATATGACCTGCTAGTTTACATAATGAAAGAATAAGGGATTGATTTGAATGGTGTTCCAACATGGGTCGAATTTCACTTGATTAGTTAGGTACAAGACTATTTGCTTATTTAGCTTATCGTAGATGAGGGGAGCACTTGAATTGAATACATTGCTTCCTATGATAGCCTATCAGCATACAGAATTGTTTGTTGATATCACCATAGTTTCACTGACACCATATTTAAAGGGATTTGTTTCGGGAATGACGTTTTTGAAACAATTACAGTAAAAGCGCAGTGTCAATTGGGGTAAAGAAGCAAGAACATATTAGCAACAAGGCACTAACACGCAAAATATCACCACCTGTCATTTGTTAAAGACGACGAACGCCGATCGCCAAACGCCGAACACCGTTCATTAAAAAGGTGGAGGGTTTAACAATGTGTCATCACTTGTGGTGGTGACATAAAAACAAAGACTGTATTGTCAAGAGTATATGGCTGATTGATTTTGTAGGATACACTCCGAGAAGGACTTCTGTTGACTTAATTCAGCTACACAGCGTTTAACTGATTGTTGTGTGTTTTTGATTCTTGATAAAAATTTCGTAATAGGTTTAAAATGTATGTGCATCGGCCTCAGTCTATCATCCTCTACCTCCTTCTACAAATACGTGTTGGAATTCAAATTAAAAAGGATCTTTTGAATAAAAAGTGTAAAATAAAAATCTTCACGTGTTGCCCCTTGTGTGTTCTGCTTTTGTAAAAACAATATATAGGCAGGTAATGAGAGTAAGCTATTTTAGGATGTTTTGTGTTGTCTCGTATTTATAGACAGACTGCTTCTGTTGATCTGTACTTCAAACCAGATCCCAAAATAAAACATAATTTACCAGGGCACATGAGTGACACAACGCTGAAAACAATGAAAAGTTTTTAAAAACTAACCACAAACTTATTGGATGTACATGATGTGGAAAGAAGCAGACAACAACAATGGACTATCATATATTGGTTATGCTGACATGTTCACTAACGCCATATAAACATATGTTATTTGTGTGACATTTTCAAGTACATGTTAGCAACGACCAATTTAATAAAAGATAAAAATAATGTCTCCCGATTAACGCTAACCCTAACAATTGAACTAGCCACGAGATTTAACCTTGTCTCATATACACCTCGATCATCCCTTATCTAGAAAAAAGTATATTTAAACAATATTAAGAAAAAATTACTAGATATTACTGACATATGTAAATATTTGGTCAGCCTATAGAAAGATAACACGCCTTGTTGCTCAGTTCCTTGAGAGAGGGTTTCTTGGTCCAAACATCTGGAACGCCCCGTGACGTTTCCATTATTAGCCAAACTAGGTATTAAGTGAGAAAAATTACTCAATTTACCGAGAGGTTTTCTTTAAAAGTTTTATTCTGAACAATGTGGTTGAAAGACTGCAATCAATTGACCCCGTGACCCTAGCTTGCCTAGATCTTGGCATGGGTGCATACCTTTTCAAACTTTTTGCGCTTCTTTCTTTTAGTTGCATTGATACAACAAAAGTACAAAGGTTGAATATTAAAATCACGTATATTAAATGGAAAGTCGCGTATAATATTTAATATTTTTGGTGTAGTTCAAGGAACATAGTTGGTGCTAAACAGTATCAATACGCATTTAGCTTATTCAAAAAGTCACCTAAATAATTATTTTAGTAATATATTATAACTTAATAAAATAATTATAATGATCAAAAGATATAAGTTCCCCTATTCAAAAATGTCACCCAAAATTTTCCAGTGTCGGAGTACACGTTTTCCCAACTACTAGGCGCTGTCCCATTCTGTGTCATTTATGACATACAATACATCGTAATGAATCAGAAGCGTTGATAGATTTGAAGCAAACAATGTCAAAATGAGGTCAATGCTGGAAAAATAGCAAAACAGCAACCGAAACAAATATTGGAGTCTAGTGTACAGTAGTTTTATACATTAGATTTGCCTGTTTTACAAGTATTAGTCACTCTATCTCTGTCTCGTGCCATAAGAAATTCTTAACATTTTCAATAACC